TTATCCGGGGTTTCATTTTGAAATTTTTCAAAAAGTATTTTCTTATATGTTATACCATATCTCAATGTTTTTTTGTAGATTCAATTTATTGTGTCTGGTAATCGTTGTCAAATAGATCACGTGACACACACTACAAAACACCAATTAGAATTTGATTAGGCGCTAATAACCTCTAGGTCATAGCTACGTTCTTATTGGTTCAAAAATCCATTGAATCGAGTTGAATCACATATTTTAAACGTACGTAGTTTATATATCAGGCATTTTTGACTGTATATAGCACATTAATAAATGGGAAATAACTATGAAACATGATGAATAGGTTAAAAAGTGGCTGTGAATGAAATAAGAAACTAGTGACAAATCAGTGCATAATTTGTACGACAATAGTTGTTGGATCCAAATTGAGGTTTGGACTGGGGAATAAATGTCTAGGTAGTTTAGTTCATTATCTTATCTTAATCTTTCTAAGTTAGGGGGGTGGAGATCAAAACATGGCACAAATCCATGAAGATACTCACTACCGAACTGAGTCATGTTGGTAGGTGTCGACTACCTGGTTTGGGTCCGAGAAATGATAGTATTCAATGGTTAGAGAGAGAGAGACCATGAATGACGTGGCTCAAAACCGTTTACAATGGCGCAGGTGCATTCATTCTTCATCACTTTATCCTATATTTTTCTTCCACGTTTATTCCACTAGATTCTACTTCTTGAATAATATCTTCTAATCCTAACCCTTCCGACTAGTGCTAAATCCTTTACTACCTCTACTACTCTTGGATTTGAATTGACAATTATATCTCTGTGCTAATGGCAACATGAACTGATGTACGTATTGTTGGGATAGCCAATCGAGAAGAAAGCCACGCACATTGGATTGATGAACTATTTGACTAATGTTCATGACGAACTATATGAATAATGTTCATGATGAACTATTTGATTAATGTTCAAAATATTTAAACGACATTTATATAATTGTATAAATACGCATGTTTGATTGTATATTTTTTGATTCTGATAATAAGCGTTCTCCAACTTCTTCCGTCTTCTTATTTTTGAACGGAGGAGTCTAACGTTCGGTGTGTCATTAGTACAGTGGTTTGGCGTTACATCAAGTAGAAAACATATATATATATATATATATATATATATATATATATATATAAATACCCCTTTCGGGTACATACATGTTGTCCGGTTTGGTCTGCAGACACGTCGGACATCCAAAAAGCACGCACACGAGCAGTGGCCCCTGCACAGGCACCTATGAATCAAGAAATCCCACCAACCAAACCACAGCCCACAATCCCCAATCGGCGAGGGCGGCAAGGCGGGCTTATCCTTCCGGACAATGGACCCCGTAGCAGGTTACCGAGCCACCCAAGCAGTGCACTAACCAGCAGCCATTCCAACCGTCTGGCCTCCAACTGCCTTGCGTTGATACAATCGATCGAGGCCCATCTTACCCCACATGAAGCTAAAGATCGAGTTTGTCCCACAAGATCAGCTAGAACGTACACCCTTCCATGAGGAAGATGTCATGGACTCGACCAAACGCAAGCGCTCAGCCAAGCAGGGTTCATCCCACAGAAGTGGGCAGACATCATTGGTGTTCAGTATCCTTTTCAGCACTAAAGCACCGGAGCCCAACTTGAGACCCTTGTTTAAGGGGCCTCGACGCCGGTTCACATATATATATATATATATATATATATATATATATATATATATATATATATATATATATATATATATATATATATATATATATATCCATTCAGTTTCCTTCCCTATATAACAAGAGTAAAACCTGATGACAATCTTGTTGGAATCAATATAATTTGTTTATATGCGTTGTTCTAATTTTCAGAAATCCATGAAGTCACTGAAAAGTAGACTGAGTCATGTCGGTAGGTGTCGACTGCCTGGTTGGGGTCTGTGAGATGATAGCAGTCGATAGTTAGAGAATGAAACCCTGAATGACATGGCTCAGAATCGTTTGCAATGGCGCAAGTGCATCCATTCTTTGAGCTCTCTCAAATCCTAATCTTCTGGATTCTTCAACACCTCTACTTCTTCTTTCTAACCTTATTTCACTTAATTATACTTCTTGAATAATATCTTCAAACCCTAGTCTTCTTCATTACCATTAATACCTCTACTATCTTTATCACTATGGGATTTGATTTGCTAATGTGGTATGGCAACATGAACTTATTTACATACGTACGTAGTTCTACGTTGCAACTGACTAACTGGTTTCGATTCCAAAACATGTGTTCGTGGATAAGTACTACTGAGGAGTCACAGCCAAGACTCAAAAACTATCCAATATATCCTGATTTTTAACGGTTGCTTAACTAGGATCAGAGAACACTAAGCACCTCACTTCTAGCCTTCTTTTTTCCATCTCAGACTAAAGCATTCATTCTTATTAAAGCCCATGCAAAATTAGAATAATTGTTCCGGAAGTCATTGGTCCACATTTTTGATTTCCTATATAGCGTGATGAAATGTTATCAGCGAGATAGCACCTGACTGATGAATCCGGTGATTATAAGTTCCTACTAAAACATCAGTAAATCAGTCTAAAAGCTGGTCACTACTGAACAAATGACTGCTATATAAAATAAGATTGTGTTTATGGCAGCTTCATAAAATTTAAATGTAGTTTCAAATTATGAATTGATGAAGTCGAAGAACCATTGTGTGCTAAATGACATTCAGTATCTATTTCTCAATCAGACTAGTGATTACACTACAACTTGACCATTTAAGGTTAATCAGCGCTAAAGAACTAAAAAATTATATAGCTGGTTACATACAACACAGCGATTAGTCAGAAGTACATATCTCAATCTGTTGGAGATGTTAGATCCCCAAAACTCGCTTCATAAATGCCTTATTTTGGATTTCACGTTTGCCAGCATGGGTTGATCAGTTGACTTTGAGATTTCATTTCCCACCAGGAAAATCCATGGTTGTGATTGGCTGCCGTGTATTTTAGTGTGCTATTTTCGAAACTGTCCCAAGGACGTTTCTATGATGTATAAATAAATGAGAGTTGTATGCTTGACTGTACTGTGCTTGCTGGGTGTTTGCAGAATATACTTTGTACGCTTACAAAGCCTTTTATCTTCAGCTTGGGATTCAAGGTAGCCTATCTGGACGCTGGTTCACTGTCTCGTTCGTGTTTATCGACCAAGGTGAACTCGTAATAGCTTCTAGCGTACCTATTGACGAACCCTACACAATCCTGGAGTACCAACAGGAAGTAAAGGAAGCAAAAGCAGGAATAGAAGAAGGATGGAGCGTTGGAAGTCACGACTCAAAGATGGTGTGCAAACAGAGTGTTCAATGTAATGTTTTCGTTTTTAATTGACTCAGAGTGTAAACTTGCATGATAGAATCTTGGGCGCCTGCCTCAGTCATCTCAGTATTCTGATCAATTTTATTCTAGCTTCCCGAATTTTTCTTCGCTGGTCAAAGCTCAAGGGTAAAGATTATTTGAAGAATAAGACCAGAATAGGAAAGCGGTATCTAAACGTTTAAGGACATAACCTGTCATGACAAGAAATTAGTATATAAAACTAACGTACTCCAAAACTGTGCCCCAAAATACTATTATAAAAACAACAGATTATTTTGTTAAGCAGTAAATTTATTTTCCACGTTTGTCTACTGAAATCGTATTTAAGTAGCAAGAAATTTGTACCATCAAAACTCCCTAATTTTGAAGTAATTCAAATTATTAAAAATTATTGTTGAATGAACTGATTCGTTGGTTTTTCTTAGACTTACTTATCTAATGCATACTTTTATTCCTGATACTTGACTTGAATGTATATGCAATCAGAAATCTCTACTGCTTACTAGAATCCGTTAACTAATAGATAAATGCGTTAACTTGGAGGTACATCCATCTGTCAAGCGTACCAAATACAAATTTCAAAACTTGTATTGCCTCCACATATATTCCAGTTCGATTACATTTAATTCGGTTAAGCCATTTTTGTGGCCATAATTTATATGTACCATTCGTTCTTATTACTGTCTAGTTTGTATGAGCTCACATGACGTGTCCAACTTGTCATTTGACCTTGTCAATCATTCATCGCTTTTATTCACGTGTGCCTATTTCGCTTGTCGCATGTCTGTCTTATATATTTGTCTGGCTATATATTCTTAGTCAAGCTCTATCTCTTGGAGTTGGCTCATTGGCCTCCTCCAACGCGCTTCACCTGTTCATTCGCTTCCTTCGCCCATTCGTTCGCATTGTAATCCAAAGAGTTGGCTCATTAGCCTTCTCCAATTCACGTCGCTTCATTCGTTTTATTCATTGCTTCTCCACTTCACTTTGTTGTCTGTCCCAAATAAACGTATTCAACACACTACGAGTTCACCTTCTGATTTATAAACCGTCAGACGCTATTTAGTAACGATTGTCTAGACGAGTTAATTACCGAGCTTTAGAACACGCAGTAAATCGACACACACAAATGGTGAGCCCACCATCGAAATGGGCCACTACAAACTAACCATAGTTTATATGTGTTTTTACCAACAACGACAACAAATAGAAAACGTAATAACAAAATGTATACATCTATCTCTATGCAATTCGAACATAGTATATAACATATACCAAAGATGGATGATTATTTAACAACAATGGTAATAGAACTTTGTTTTTTTAATTTAGTATTCAAGAATATATGTTTTCGTGAATTACAGCAATAATAATAACAATCAAAATCACAGAATATTGAAAATTGAAATGATAAACATGATCAGCGATTGACGACGATCGAAGGTGTAAGACAGACGAATGAAGGAAAACCCAAAGGTAAAATCGATTGAAAATAAAGGAAGAGGGAAATCTTTCAAAATATATATGTATATTTATATATGATTTGAGTAACCGGTAATCATGATATTTGTCATAAGATAAAAAAACAGTATTTTCATAATCTTTTATTTTAAAATTGAAGAAAGCTACTTGTTATTTCATCTGTTTTATATAATAATAGTTTCATTTTGTATATTTTGAAAAATAATTTTTATTGATTTATTAATTAATTAATGAATTAAAAATGCTCAATAATATTTATTTATTTAATCTAATGACTTTTTAATTTATATAAATTATAAAATTCACCTTGTTTAGCAAGTAATTCATTCAATGTTCCATATTCTATGATTCGTCCATTTGATAAAACAATAATGTAATCCACATTTTCAATTGTATTTAAACGATGCGCTACAATCAGAGCTGTACGTGTAGTGCTGGTGCTGGTGCTGATCATTGCATCATTGAGAGATTTTTGTACAAGACGTTGATTTTCATTATCCAACGCTGATGTTGCTTCATCAAGTAATAGAAGTGATGGTTTACGTAGTAGAGCACGGGCTATAGCAATGCGTTGTTTTTGACCACCGGATAAATGTGAACCATTTTCACCGGCTAATGTTTCATATGCCTTTTTTTGAAGACGAGAGGAAAAAAAAGTAAAAATATCACACTGTAGGATAGAACAAACCATGGGAATAAAAATACCGTTTCCGATACAGAAAAATGCCAGACTGAACAAAGATCAATTACAAACAAGATTTTTATATATCTAGTAGTAATCATCAACGATATGCAGAATTAGTGTGTTGGCATCCTAAGTTGTTTAGAGGTGAAAATGTGAATAATAAATTGATAAATAAGTTTTGAAACTCATATTGTGGTGCGCGCTACTTACAAGTAGTATAGGACACGTGTGTAAACGTAATGTCTGGCAGCAGAAGATGGGGGAAGATCAAGCGAAAGGAAGAGTGGGAACACAATGGAGTTTGTATGAAACGCATGAATAGTGAAATGCCAGACAATGGATTGATGTTTTGCAAATTAACGATCTACGATATAGTTTCCCTATTTTACCGATTAACTCCTCAAAAACCACCGGGAAATTGACCTTTCAGGTTTTAATTATAATCATGAATTACTTTGTTTTTTAAGGCGAACCACTTTAGACTTAATTTCGATATCAATGCTAAGAAATGCATGAAATGAAATCAGATAATTGTAACATTATCACAAAAACTGTTTGACACGTCAGTCAATCAGCCATCAGTAAAGTTGGACATCTCAAACCATTTATGAAAATGATAATGAGGACCCCTGAACAAACAGTTCACAGTATCAAATCTTACAGATTAATTGTTTTCAGTTACTCAAAGGACCGTTGTGGTGGTGTTTTGTTCTCTGAGCTGGTTGTTTTGGTTGTGGAGCTTTCATTGTTCTTCTTCTGAACAACGTCATCAGCACAAACTTCAGATAGAACGAACGAAACACCACCACAATCATCCACCTGAGCTACAAGTTTTCTCCACCAACTCAAAGGACCGATAGATTAGTCAATGTAATATTCACACTAGCCATTGAAATAAAATTTATCTGTTTGAAAAAAAATATTTTCTTTCTTTAATGCACATTTTCAATAAACATATCTTAATATTTCATGGGATTGCTAACCCTATGCCCCCAACCCTCTTCCTTTATCCGAGCTTCAGACCAACAGTAACCCCCCACAATGGGCTCCAAGAGGAGTTTTATGGATTTTATGGAAAGTTTTTTTTTATTTCCAAGTTAGTACATAGCTTATTTGACATATTCATTAGAGAGAATGATGTCTGACGAAATCTCGATTGGCTTTTACCAACTTGCATCACTTATGGTTTAGGTGAGATAACCAAAGGATGGTTCTGCTGCTAAGTAGCACTTCGCTCCGTCTTAATATATGGGTGTAAAACATGGCCAGTTAAGGTAGAGGAAATTTGTAGGCGATTAGTATTCGATCATAGGTGTCTCCGAAGTATTGCTCGTATATCCTAGGACAATCGAGTAAGCAATTTTGGTGTTAGGAAAAGGGATTTCTGTAAGGATGGCATATTGATTGATGAAGTGATGAGTGTTCATCAGTTGAGATGGTTCCGACATGTGTTACCTATGCCTAACCACCGACTGCCTCGACGACCAATGTTGTCTGATGTAGGGTTAGATTGGAAGAAAACTAGAGGAGGCCAAACCAAAGCATACCACCAGTCCATGAAGTCACTGACAAGTGGACCGAGCCATGTTGATAAGTGTAGCTACTTGGTTAGGGTCTGAGAGATGATAGTAGCAGATAGTTAGAGACATTGAATGACATGGTGCAAAATCGTTTGTAATTGTGCAGGTGGATCCACTCTTTGTGTTCTCTGAACTACTCATGATCGTTATTTTTCCCTTTATTTGTAAATTACTTTCTCTATGATATGCTTCTCGGACGATATCTTTGATCATTAATGTTTATGATTACCGCTAATACTTCTACTTCCTATACCATTATAGGATTTGAAGTGACAATTCCATCTCTGTGTGTGTTGAAGTGATATGACAGCCTGAACTAATGTATGTACATACGATGTTCTACATTGTAGCTGATTGACTGACTGACTGACTGACTTACTATTAATAATCAAACTAAATTGAATTTTTTTTAATTTATATTCAAAACTTACTTACACTAGGTAATGACACTATAAAATCATGGATATTAGCTAATTTAGCGGCTTCAATAATTTCATCCATTGTCACAGTGCGACTATGATCACCATAGGCAATATTATCACGTAAACTAATATTGAATAATATTGGTTCTTGACTAACTACACCAATTTGTTGTCGAATCCAACATGGTGCTAATTGACGTAAATTGATACCATCAAAAAATATACCATTTTGTAAATTATAACTATCATTATTAATTGGATCATAGAAACGTTGTAATAATTGAATTAGTGTAGATTTACCACAACCTGATTGACCGACTAATGCAATTTTACTGCCTGGTTGAATGGAATATGTAATATTCTAGGGGAAAAAATAAGATAAAATAAAATAAAATAATAATAAACAATGTTTTGTGAATAAATAGTTTAGTCGCATGAACACTTACTTACTTACTTACTTACGCCTGTTACCCCACAATGGAGCATAGGTCGCCCACCAGTTTTCTCCAACCAACTCTGTCCTAAGCTTCCCTCTCCAGTTCTGTCCAATGTTTGTTCATTCCTCTCATATCTTTCTTTATTTCTCGGCGTAATGTGTTCCTTGGACTTCCTCTTTTCCTTTTGCTCTGAGGGTTCCAAGTGAGGGCTTGTCTTGTGACGCAGTTAGGTGCTTTTCGCAATGTGTGTCCTATCCACTTCCACCGCTTCTTCCTGATTTCCTCTTCTGGTTTGTTCTCTCCCACAGTAAGTTGTTGCTGATGGTGTCTGGCCAACGAATCCGAAGTATTTTGCGTAGACAACTGTTAATAAATACTTGTATCTTCTGGATGATGGCTTTGGTAGTTCTCCAAGTTTCCTCTCCATATAGTAGAACTGTCTTGATATTTGTATTGAAAATCCTGATTGTGGTGTTGATTGATATTTGTTTGGAGTTCCAGATATTTTTCAACTGTAGAAATGCAGCCCTTGCTTTGCCAATCCGTGCCCTCACATCTGCATCGGATCCACCTTGCATGAACACTAACATGTTATATATTAGACTGGAAAACATCATTACACACAGTCATCCAATCTGTAAACATCAATGTCGCACAACTAGTCAATTATCATCATATGTTATCTAGATATGGAAGAAATTCTGTCAGGCTATGGTTGGATGGCATTACCGTTTAGCTTCTTAAGAGCCAGCATCGCATATTCTAGGAGCCACATCGAAACAGTAAGCAAACTATAATGCTCTGATTAACTTTACTGTGAACAATGCTGAACTTCAGTAAGACACACTAAATACGTTAACAGCAGCCTAGACAAAAATAACTAATCAAATGAAAGGTGTAAACCAGGACAGATTTAAGGTCAATAATAACCAATCAAGATCGAGGCTAACAGGAACGTGGAGAAATTCGAATATTTCACTTCTGTGTTAATGATGTTGTTCATAAATAAGAGCAATCAAAGCTCGTCACATGCAGTTGGATCACTCGCCTCCTCCACTTCGCTTTACTTCTACGCTTTGTATTATTATCACGTCTGTCTGCATGAAAAAAACTGAATCCACGTTAAGCTTATGTTACGCATGCACGTAAACACGTCAGTTCGATATACTTCAACTATTACAAGTTTACTTGAGTCGGAAAGCGAGAGCGAGGATCGAGGATCCGGTGACACGACAGGCTACTCTAATCCAAAACAATTAGTCCCTTTTATAAATTATGATAGAACAGTGAGAAGATGCAATTGATCTGAAAAATGTGATGTATTTGCGCGATATACATTTCGAACAATCTGGTCACACATATACTTACTTGTCAAGACATAAGATTGACATCAAGACAGCCTTCCAAACATTGTATAGAAATGTTGAAGGATGAATTTTGAGGTTTATGGAGGCCTTGGATATCGGAAAAATTCAAACTCCCCTTGTGTGTGCAGAAACAATTTGTCATAATCTTGAATTTACTCTGGTAATCTTTAAGCCATTGGGGTTATGTGACAATTTCCTACCCTTTCTTATTCTTTTCATATTACGTTAATTTTCTCTCTCCTTTATTTACAATTATCACCTTATGTCTATTTGAACTTTTATTTAATTGACCTTTTATTAAGTTTCAAATAAAATGCCTTGACAAGTAAATATGTGTGACCAGATTGTTCGAAATTTAAATAGCGCGCAAATAAATCACAGTTTTTAGATCAATTACGTCTTCTCACTACTCTAATTCAGTTGTCCCAAACCCCCATCGAGTAAAAGAAGAAGACTTGATATGAAGTAGAACATGTATTCTACAAACATCCAGAAAGTATGAGGTCCGAGTCTAGAATAGGATGAGGATCTCGGACTAAAGATCCGCATTCGGGTCCGGGTCATAAAACGTTACAGATAATGCGTCGAACAGGAATCAACATTGAAGTCTGTGACATTGATAGTCAGGACAACCAATGGGAAACAACATTGAAGTACGTGACATTGATAGTTAGGTCGACCATAATATTGACTGTTAGGAATTGACCAATAGAATTGGATTTACAAAAATAATTGTCTTAGGATATTTGATGAATATCCTAATGTTGTAATGGTTACTTAGATATTTTCTAGCTAAATCCTATTGCTTAGTATTCTCTGACCACAATACACTGGACAAGTTCCAAAGAATCAAAAACACGGTTGAACAGGAAAAGATTATATTCCAAATAGCAAGGTTAAATGGAAATAAGAAGCCAAAGGTGATGGCGAAGGCGAAGGCAAAAATAGATACAACGTTAGTCTATTTATAGCATTTACATGAGAAGCTTCTGGACAGAAATTCACGTGATCGACTGGATTAGATTTAACCAATCAGCACGCAGCTAACAGTACGAGAATCTTCTACCCTGTTCTCCAAGATTCTATCAGGCTCTGATTGGATAGGAAATTAACCAATCAGCGCGCAGCTGACGCAGTCATACTTTAATTCAATGTATGTCTCACTAACACCTAACAGCGTCTTATTACCTCCGTCGCACAAACGGGGTTAGCTTAGGTATGTATGATAAAGGGTAATTGAAGGGAAAATTTATTCCATAGCATATTCGATCGTTCGTCTAAGTTGGAGTCAGATCGCAGGCACATTAAAATGCTATGTGTACATAATTTGTTAAGCAAACTAGGTCTTCTCTAAATGTATAGATATGTATGTGTATACACTCTTTATTTTCTTCAAACTACTTACATGTAAAACTTTTGTTTCCGGTCTTGTTGGATAACGAAAATTGACTTTTTTAAATTCAATTAAACCATTAAATGCTTTCTTTGGTTTATCTCCTTGATTCGCATCGATCAATGGTTTACGATCGATCACAGTGAATATATGCTTCATCGCTTGTTCAGCTTCTTTAGTTTTTGCAGTGAATGCAGTAATTCGACCAAGTGCTTGTGAACACATACTAAATGTGATATAAACTCTAAGAAAAGGAAAGGAAAATAAAACAAATATTCAACACGAAAGAGTAAATTGATCAATAAAAAAAATATGAATTGAGAAAAATGATCTATGTCACTGAATGATCTGCAGGTTAGTTATCACCTACAGGGTTCTAAAGATTGTTGGGTTTCATTGTAACGATGAATTGATCAATGTTAGACCATCATTATTTGCCTGGAAGCATTGAACTCTCCACTTGTCCTAGTATGGGACTCACTAGCAGTACGTATCCGAGATTACAGCTTATGGGAATGGAATACAGGACCATCGGTCTCGTGCCCAAACGTTTAACACCTAAACTACTGATCTGACTGGCATCTGACGGTGTAGTTACCTAAATTCGACCAGCCCTGGATCCGATTCCTGCGAGCGAACTTCATGGATGCCCACAGCTGATGAGTCCCATACTAGGACGAAACGGTCATCCGGTGATTTCAGGTTTCTAATGGTGGCCTAACAATGACTCATTCATGGTTTCAATATATGAAAGCAGCAGGCATAACAGCAACGATCTTCGATTTCTTTGTTATCGCCATAACCAACTAGATAAGAAGGAGTAATACCAGTCATAAATTTCATAAAGCCTATTCCTTTTGGGTAACATAAATACCTGGTTGATCTGTATTTCTTGAATCACTTGTTCCTTGAGATTCTACCATGACGAGCAGGTCTGTTGATGAGACTTTATGTGACATTTTGTGAAATCATCAGTCAATCAATGTTAGAAAACCATTAGAAACCTGGAAGCACTGGACGGCCGTCAGGTCCTGGTATAGGACTCATCAGTGTCAGTGCGCATCCACTACTCATGCTGCGCCTCGCAGGATTCGAACCCAGGACCTTCGGTATTTTGTGCGGACGCCTAACCATTGGATCACTGGGCCGGCATCCGAAGGTGTTAATGTTTAACTCTGATTGATCTACGGATTTTGCGCGACCTCACTCATTTGTCTTCAGTAGTTACTGCCTACACCCGACAGGGTTGAACTCCATTGGTCACGTCTTCTCACTAGAACTCCGAGAATTTCCTCACGAATCTAGTCACTAGTGAGCACATGTTACGATATTTTCAGTTAGAGTTTTGGAGATTTGTGTTTTTACACATTTGAAATCATCAATCAATCATTGTTAGACCACCATTAGAAACCTGGAAGTAGTGGACAGCCGTCCTGGGTTCGAATCCTGCGAGGCGCAGCATGAGTAGTGGATGCGCACTGACACTGATGAGTCCTATACCAGGACCTGACGGTCGTCCAGTGCTTCCAGATTTCTAACGGTGGTCTAACAATGATTGATTGATGATTTCAAATGTGTAAAAATGCTAATCTCCATAACTCTAATTGAAAATTCTCACTAGAACTCAGGGAAACTTCCTCATGGAGCTAATTACTAGTGAGCACATGTGAATTTTCGTTCTAGGGTTCCAAAGATTGTTGAGTTACTCTAAAGTCATGAATAAATCATTGTTACCTCATCATCAAAAACCTAGAGGCAAGGGATAGCCGTTTTGTCCTAGTATCGGACAAAATCATCAGTGTGCATCCACGACTCTCGCTACTCACAGGAAACAGCCGTTTAGTGCTTTCAGGTTTCTAATATCGGACTAACATTAAACGATTTAAGATTTTTAAGTAACTTAATAATCTTCACAACCCTACAATGAAAACCGGTATTCTTGTTCTTCCATCTTTTGTTTCTCTTAGTTTTAAATTCTCACCTCTGTGTGTGTGTGTCTGTACTGATATGAATGAGAACCATTTGGATCGATAAATATTCCCATTAAATCCAATGCAATTGTCTAGTATTTCTCCCTCAGTCAAAAATGCAAACGAAACATACAAACATTAATCACTTTCATGACTAGGCTTAAATTTTACAATAATATACTTTAAGATAAAATGTAAAGTTTTTTTGTTTTTACAGAGACACTTGATTTCATCCGTTTTCAACATACATCATTAGTCCATTACAATTAACTTTATTGAAATACTGAAATATTTTTGATATCAGTTGTTGAAAAGTTTGACTAAACAGATAGACAGTGATGTGAATCAATGAATTTATTTCGTGTTCTATAAAAATGCTTTGATGCAGATTTGAGGACATGGATTTGCAAAACAAGGGAAGCTTTTCTTCAAGTAAACAACGTCCGGAACTCAGAACAACTATCAACCAACAACAAACATAGATATTTCAGTACAAATGTCACGACAGTTGGTTCTGTTGTATGTGACGGAAACTTGAAGAAACACAAAAGCTATTCTCTAGAACATACAAGTATTGATTAACAGTTGTCTACGTAAAATATTTCGGATCCATTGGCCAGATATTATCAGTAACAACTTACTGTGGGAGAGAACAAATCATATTCCAGTGGAGGAAGAAATTAGGAAGAGGCGGTGGAAGTGGATAGGACACACATTGAGGAAAACACCCAACTGTGTCACAAGACAAGCCCTCAGTTAGGGTCCTCAATGCCGCACAAAAATAGAAAGACTGAAAAACACATTACGTCGAGAATTGGAGATAGACATTGTTATGCTCGTCATTTGATATGCTTGAAACTATCACGGGTTCACCTTAGGCGATAAATGAGAACGAGACAATGAACCAGTGACACGGCAGGTTACTCTGATCCGTTGCCACAAATAAGTCTTGATATAGCGTAGAAAGTGTATTCTACAAGTATCCAGAAAATATAATGATCTCAAAGGCACACAAATCGCGTTTATTTATGCATCATAGAGACGTCTGTGGGGGAGCCACAACAATAGCGTACTAAAATAATACATCAACCAATCACAGACAAGAATTTTCTGGAGGGAAATGTAATCTCAAGGTCAACTGATCAGTCCATGAATAAAAATCCAAAAATTAGAACAGTTATTAAGCGAGTTCTGGGGATCTAATGCAGGTCATCAGCCTCAGCTTCATCGAGGGCAACACGGCAGCGAGCAATCAAGCTAGTAAGTAATGATATATTATCATAATAACACACATTTTAAAGACAACAACAATATTTACACTCAGATTGAATAAAAATTTTTAAACTAACTTAAACAATGATATCATTGAAATTGCATTGTGTTGTATTAAATAATTTCCTAATGCAAAACATGCTGTTAAACTAAGAACAGGACCAGACAAACCAATTGATTGAACTAAACCAAATGCAATAGCTTCTTTTAAATATGTCCTGTTAAAAATGTAAATAAACAGTAAAAATGAAATGATTCAGTTGAAAAAAATACAATAAATTTTTGTGCATGATACTTTAGACAGATACAACGCAGAACTTCGTTTGTTAGTACATCAGTTCAGGTTGCCATACAGCATTAGCACAGAGACGCAACTGTCAGTTCAAATGCAAGAGTGATAGCAATAATAGAAGTATTAGCAGTAATGGGAAAGATTAGGGAGCGAAGATATTATTCGAGAAGTATAATTTAGTGAGATAAATTTAGAAGGAGAAAGGTAGAGATGATGAGGAATTCAGAAGGTTAGAAACTAGAGAGAACACAAAGAGTGGATGCACCTGAGCCACTGCAAACGATTCTGAGTCATGTTGTTCAAGGTCTCTAACCATTGGTGACTATCGTCTCGCGGACCTCAACCAGGTAGCCTACATCTAACAACATGACTCAGTCCACTTGTCAGTGACTTCATGGATTTGTGCCATGTTTTGGTTTGGCCGCCCCTAGCTTTCTTCCAACCTACTCCTACACCACAAAACATAGCTCGTCGAGGCAGTCGGTGGTTAGACATATGTAACACATGTCCCAACCACCTCAACTGATGAAGTTTCAAAACTTCATCTATTGATTTGCCATCCCTACCTAGAACTCGTTTCCTAACGACAGCATTGCTCACTCGGTTGTTCCACGATACACGAGCAATGCTTCGGAGACACCCATGATCGAAGACTAGTAACCTACGAATGTCCTCTACTCTTAACGGCCAAGTCTCACATCCGTACAGTAGGACGGAGCGAACTGCTGCACAGTACACTCGTCCTTTGGTTAGCAAACGGATATCTAGCCTGCTCCATAGGTGACGCATGTTGGCAAAAGCCAATCGAGCCTTCTGTATCCGTGCTGAGATTTCGTCAGTCACCAGGCCATCAGCACTGATGAGACTCCTAAGATAAGTGATACATTAATAAAACAAGAAAGATAAAGCTCTACGACCAGTGCAGTTCAACCCTGTCGGGTATGGGCAGACACTTAACAGAGACAATGAGTGAGGTTGAGCAATACCTTGGATGGATCAAAGTTAGACATTAATACTGTTGGATGCCGGTTAGCTCAGTGGTCTAGAAGTGAAGCGTTCGCGCACAAGACCGAAGGTCCTGAGTTCGGTTCCTGTGTGCGGAGGTCGTGGATTCTCACTACTGATGAGTCCCATACTGGGGAAAAACGGCCTCCCAATGCTTCCAGGTTCTTGATGGTAGTCTGACAATGATTGGCTCATGATTTATTCGGATTTTAGTAAGTTCATCATCAGTTGTGTGTTCTACATACATTTGCGTTCGGCTCCTAAGGATTGAGCATATATAATATCTATCATCCTACTCATCATCATTCAGCTTGGAAAGTTCATGTAATATCCACTCCAGATTGACTTTTGATACATTGAACATTGTAAGTCAGTCAGTCAGATGCAACGTAGAACTTCGTAAGTAAGTACACCAGTTCATGTTGCCATACCACATCAGCACAGAGATATAATTGTCAATTCAAATCCAATAGTAGAAGAGGTAGTAAAGGTATTAGAAGTAATCGGAGAGGTTAGGATTAGAATATATTAATCCTGCTGCTACCTTGACGTGGTGGTCCGGATTGCCTATCGTCAAGAACCAACCGAGCTATTTCAGCTGGAACATATGTTCCTGTAGGTTCTGCCATGCCAGGCAGGTCCATTGGAGAACGATGAGACTAAAAGCAGCTACCCAAAATCTGAGGGTGAAGTCATACTGCTGAATGTAGATGGGTGTGACAGCAGTAAGATGTTTCCCTCGGACAACCAGCATCTGCGACGATGCTGCCTTCTCACAAGGAAGGAAGGGTTAGAAAAGGTCGAAACTCAAAATCTCACACCTCACCCAACCTCACGGATTTCCGTCTCCTTCGGTAAGGGTGCCCACCAAGGGCTTTCAAGAGTGGAACTGATACTTAGAAAACCCTTCATAAAAAGGCCGTGCGTGACCGGCCTCAAGCAGTTGTCCGTTTGACTCTGCGGTCACGCTCCCAGGTCGTTAAGACCAACACTAACTAATCTGTCTTCCTTTTCAGGTCCCTCAAGAATCAACCTTCCACGGTGTGGGCAGCCAGGAAGTGACAACCGCCCTCATACCCTTAACAGCACACGAGACCAAATTGGTCGAAATCGCATTGACCATTGTACAGATATATCAAACTTTTGTCATAGTAAAACACTGAGAAAATAAAATTTCGAATTCAAATCTGATTCTATCATGAATCCAATCGAATTGTAGTAATTATTTTAATATTATTGTTGTTCATATATCTCATATAATAGTAAAATTTACCAATTCTTGCTCGAATGTTAATGTTCCTCAGGTTGGTCAATAAACAGTTTACTAGAAGGAGACCCAATGTAGATCTCATTGTAACACCATTTATTTTTCAATAGAAATCATTGTCAAATCTCAGTTGCTCATTGAAACTGTACTTCTTTTAAAACGTATTTTAGGATGCTAATTGTCAACTTTGTCACAGTCAACATTTTCATACAAATAACTGATACAGTAAGCCAATCAGAAGTGGCCAAATGACAAGGTTATTTGACAACCATTAGAAATGTCCTAAAGGACGAATGTAAGTCATTGGCCTGAATATGTTTTCGATTTCTAACGGCGAGAATTCTTATGTACATGGATAAGTATCGAGGCATATGATTCGATTATGATGTAGGCGACGTTGCATTCTACTCTTGCTTTTTCATTCAAATAGTCAGTTTGGAAGAGGGTAAGGGCGTATCACATTCAGATTTAGAACATTCAATATCATAACAAAAATGGTGGTCTAACAATGATTGATTGATGATTTCAAATGTGTAAAAACACAAACCTCCAAAACTCTGCCTGAAAATATCGTAACAGTGCTGCTCACCAGTGACTAGCTTCGTGAGGAAATTCTCGGAGTTCTAGTTGAGAAGACGTGACCAATGGAGTTCAACCCTGTCGGGTGTAGGCAGTAACTACCAAAGACAAATGAGTGAGGTCACGCAAAATCCCTAGATCAATCAGAGTTAGACATTAACACCATTGGATGCCAGAACCAGTGGTTCGATGTTTAGGCGTTCGCGCACAATACCGAAGGTCCTGGGTTCGAATCCTGCGAGGTGCAGCATGAGTCGTGGATGCACACTGTCACTGATGAGTCCCATACCAGGACGAAACGGCCGTCCAGTGCTTCCAGGTTTCTAATGGTGGTCTAACAATGATTGATTGATGATTTCAAATGTGTAAAAACACAAACCTCCAAAACTCTGCCCCAAAAAAAATAAGTTTGTTCGGATATTCATCCAATATCCTACAAGAATCGATTGTAAGTCTAGTTCTATTGGTCAATTCCTATTGGTTCATTCCTACTGGTCAGCATTATGGTCATCATATATTTTAATGTTGCTTCCTATTGGTCGTTCTAACCAGCAATGTCACATACTTCAAATGTTGTTTCCTATTCGGCGTAACTGTATAAATACACATTATCTGTAACGTTTTATGACCCGAACCCGGACGCGGATCCCAAGTCCGGGATCCTTATCCTCTTCTAGACTCGAACCACGTACTTTCTGGATGTTCTACTTCATATCAAGTCCTCTTCTTTTACTCAATTGGGAAGGGGGTGGTTGGGACACTCGGATTAGAGTAGCCTGTCGTGTCGTCGGATCCTCAATCCTCACTCTCGTTTTCCGACTAAAGTAAACTCGCAATAGTTCAAGTATATCGAATGGACGTGTTTACGTGCATGCGTAACAAAATGGCTTCAATTGAATAAGAAGATATTTATCAGCAGAGAAATGACCTTATAACCTAAATCATTTCCATTGAATTATCAACACCAAACAAAAAAAGTAGATACAATAAAATAATTTACCTAAAACTATCAATATACATTGATTGAAAACGTTGATAAAAATATTCTTCTAATGATAAACTTTTCACTGTACGATGTGCACTAATCGATTCTTTAGCAATTGATAATCCTTTTGCTGGAATATGATCATCTTTGTTCGGTGCTTTTTTCATCTGTTAAAATAGGATAAATAGAATACATAAGATAGGTAAGGTGGTAGTAGTAGTAGTCAGCAGGAAATGCTGTAACTTCGATTTCTTATTTATTTAGTTGGTGATGCGCATGCCCTCCGATTCTTTATGAAGTTGAAAAAAGCGATAGGAAATCTGATGCGAGAGAGAGCAGTAGGACCTGACAGATTTTTACGGATGGTGGTCCAGTTTTAACAGTTGGACTGACTGAGATCTTAGGTAGAATTTAGGAACTGGACGTAATACCATCTGATCGGTCTCAATCACTGACTGTCAGAATTTATAGGAAAGGACAGAAGTCTTCTTGTGACAGTCACAGAGGAATCAGCCTAACTAATGTAGTTTCTCATTTGTTAGCCTCGATTATATTTAGACGTCTAATTAGAGTTCGTGACCAGCAGACTAGAGAAAATAAGGCTGGTTTTCGACATGGATGTATAGAACAAATATTCACACTACGTCAGGTCCCACGTTCAGACGCCCTACAATAGTAGTATTTCTCGACTCTGAAACGGCTTTCGACTCCGTGAGGTTCTGTGGCAGTGCCTTTCATTAAAAGGTGTACCAAAGAGGTACAAGCTCTCTATTCGAACACCACAAGTCGAGTTAGAGCTTATGGCGAACTGTCGTCGGAATTCATTACTTCAAGTGGTGTTCGTCAGGGCCGTCCACTTTCTCCATTCTTGTTTGATTTTGTCACAGACATGCTTTCAGGTGCAACATTATCTTCGTCTAATTTTTCAGGCATGGACCTTTTACCAGGAGACACGCTTGATGACTTAGAATGTGCTGATGACCTAGTCCTATTCAGTGAAGACGCTGAAACAAATGCAGTCTTCTGACTACCCTAAGCAACGATGCAAGCATGTTCGGGATGCGGTTTTCACCCTCCAAATGCAAAATGTTGCTTCTAGATTGGCTTGAGTCGGCAACTGAACCAGTGGAAGTGAGGGAAGTAATTGAGTGTGTTGACTGCTTCACTTATCTTGGGAGTCTCATCAGTGCTGATGGCCTGGTGACTGACGAAATCTCTGCACGGATACAGAAGGCTCGATTGATTTTGCTAATTTGCGTCGAGATATCCGTTTGTTGACTAAAGAATTGAAGGAAAGGTTTATTTCAGTGCATATTTAGTCATCCATCCAAACTGAAATCAGATTTCAACGCACAAAATAGTGCTGTAGTCAAAGGCTATAGTAGGCCAACTGTGCTAATGTGAGTTGTAGAATTTGATTGGAAAAATGATCAGCGGAAGATATGCAATATGAACTATTTGAAAAAGATCTATAGAAAATACTAGAACTAGGCTTCATATCTTCCAATATTGGCTAGTTTAAACTGCCCTTTAACTTCAAGGTAATTTGTTTTTGAATAACGTTTGGATCCAATATTCAGCACTCAAGTTATGTACTACTATTAAAACATATAAGCTTACTTAAAAATTACCTTATAATACAAGATGAATACGATGAAAGTCAGTTAGTAAGGTACAATGTAGAACTTCGTACGTTCGCACATCACACCACATTAGCACAGAAAAGCAATTTTTAGGTCAAGGTAGTAGAAGAATGAGCAGTAATCGGAACGATTAGAGTTCGAAGATATTATTCAAGAAGTATAATCCAGTAGGATAAATTTGAGACAATGACGAAGAAGGTCATGAGGAATTCAGAAGATTAGGATCCGAGAAAAGACAAAGAATGGGTGAATCTGCGTCATTGAAAACGACTTCGAGCCATGTCATTCAAAGTCTCTAAACATCAGATACTATCATCTCGCGGACCCCAACCAGTCAGACTACATCTACTGACATGGCTCAGTCCACGTGTCACTGGCTTCATGGATTTGTGCCATGTTTTGGTTTGGCCGCCCATAGCTTTCTTCCAATCTACTCCTACACCTAGGCTTACGTAACACCTGTCCCAATCACCTCAACTGATGAAGTTTCAATACTTCATCTATTGATCTACCATCCTTACCTAGTACTCCTTTCCTGACTACTGCATTGCTTAGTCGATTGTCACGGGATATACAAGCAACGTCGAGGTATTACTGTAGCTCATGTCTTCGATATTACACTAGTCATACTGATTCTTCACAAGAGGATGTTTGTCCTTCCTTGTAGACTGAGACAATCAGTGATTGAGACAAGTCAGATAAGATTACGTCCAGTTCCATTCAATCTAACTATTCAAACTGTACCACTGTCCTTAAAAATACCAAAGATTAACCTATCAAGAATATAGTCAAAAAATTACCAGTAAATAAAAACACACACTTACATGTAATCGTGAAGATAACAATAGTACCGGTATGAATGGAATCATAACTAAAGTTAATTGCCAACTGTAAATAAATCCAATCGCTAAAGATGCCGTGATTAAAACCATCGCTTCAAATGCTGTACTTAGCGTGGAACCACTAATTTGTGCAACTTTTGAAGCATCCGTTGAAAGAAATGCAGTCAATGCACCAGCTTGATTTTCCGACCGATCAAACCAACCAATCTCCTTGATATTTTGAAAATGAAAAGCATAAGCCGACCACAAAACAATGAAGACATGTGATAATATACATTCGTTTTTATGTAGCAAAGTTATTATAAAGCCTTAGTAATTGTGTAGTGAACGAAAACACAGGTGGGGCAACCGTATTGTATTTGCCGGAAATTACAGAGTTACTCAGTAAAATTGGAAAACCATATCGTAAATCGTTAATTTGCAAAATAACAGTCCATCATATCGAACTGAACTGTTCCTGTTGCAAAACATCAATCCATTGTCACTACTATTCATGCGTTTCATACAAATTTCATTGTGTTCTAACTAACTCTTCCTTTCTTGATCTTCCCCTATCTTCTGCTGCCAGACATTACGTTGACACTCACGTCATATACTACTTATAAGTAGCTTACACCACGATTGTATTGAAAATTAACGCATTTATCATTATGCTCCTAAATTTAATGAGGTTGTAGTAAAGATTTCAATCGATAAGGCTACTCTATTTTTAGGAAATCAAGTTGTGAATATGAGATAGAATGAAATGTCTTATCAGTAATGTCAGTTAGACAGTTAGCTACAATGCCGAACTTCGTACGTACGTACATTAGTTCAAATTGTCATTACTACACTGACACACAGAGAAACAATTGTCAGTTGGAATGTCATAGTGGTAGGTATAGTAGAAGTATTAGTGGTTATAGAGAAGATCAAAGTTCGAAGTGATTAGTCAAGAAGTAAAATTCAGTGAGATAATTTTTAGAAAGACAAAATTAATGAGGAATTTGCGAGATCACCACAATTTAAATTTAACGAAACTTTTATGAAGGGAGCATATATGTCAACACAAACTGACTAACAATATCATAGAAGTAACTTAAATGATGTTATATAACTAAGCTTGTAAATAGTCAGTTTTTTCAAGAAAAAAATTTCTTCTTAACTAGATCGTGAGTATAAGTGCAATGATATCTTATTTATTTTCAAATAACTTGTAGTGTCTACTAATGTGATATGGCGACTTGAACTGATATACGTACGTATGAAGTTCTACGGTGTAAATGACTGACTGACTGACCGACTAAGTGTGTGTAGTAATATGTCAGACACGCAGGGTTTGCTTTCGCTTTTGGCTAAAATTAGCTAATCCCTTCTTCTGAAGTTATTCACTCGTCTTTTGATCTTGTCAATTATTCGCTTATTACCTTGGTTGTTTTTAATTAAGTGTGTGTGTGTGTGCGCGCGTATCTCATGTCTAGCTTAATATATAATATAATATAAATACTCAGCCATTATTCATTGCATTGAGTTGACTCGCTCGTCTTCTCCGTTTCGTTTAGCCTAGCCTATACACACTCTTCATTGACTCTTCAAATCGCCTTACGGCCGGATACGGAAATCTGTCGGATAAGGTGAGGTGTGACATCTTTAACGACGACCTTTTCTAACCCCTTCCTCCCCTTGTGAGAAGAAAGCATCGCTGGAGATGCTGGTTTTCCCAGCGAAATACTTTGGTGCCGCTCTACCTTTCTGCAGTCAGTGGTGTGATTACACCTTCAGACGATTAGTTGCTGCTTTTGTGGTGTGTGCTACTTATACGAACGATATAAGTAGTATAAGAAGGGACGTGAAAGAAGAACTCTCACGGTCAGAAGAGGAAAACGGAAAGCAAATGGAGCAAAAGCAAGAAGTGAAAGGAGTACCAACAGGGAGGAAAGGAAGCAACAACAGGAATGGAAGAAGAATGGAGCGTTGGAAGTCAGGACTCAAAGATGGTGTGCAAATAGAGTCTTCAATGTAATGTTTTCGTTTTTAACTAAGTGTAAATTTGCTCAGTCTTCTCACTTTTAGTCTTACAGTTCTCCAGCATATCTACGTGACATGACACGACTTAAAAGAACATATATTCCAGCCAGTACGACTCGGCTGGGTCATCATGATAGCCGAACCCGACTACCATGTCAAAGTAACAGCTACGGTCGGGAAACCTGATGTTAGTTACGGCTTATCATTCAGTTGTAAACATTTCAATCCAACAGGAGTTTAATCACTAACTAAGTGGCTCACTGGTAGCATCACACATTATGACGCTGAGCGGCGTTAGTTCGAATCTTACAAGGAGTAACAGTCCCCCCAAAGATTATAGGCATACCTTACTGGCGAGTGCTAACCTAAAAAAAACGAAACCAAGCTTCACAGTTTCACGCCGCCTACTTCCAACCACCCAATATATTTATATACATATGAATGTACGTGACAAAAGATTACCTGTTTCAGCATAGAATCAAATAATTCTGATCGTAAGCGTTTTGTTAAGCGTTCTGCAGCAACACCAAATAAATAACCCTAATTATTTGTAATAAAATAAAAAACTTATTGGAATGATATTGTTGAGAAAAATGATGATGATAATAACATGTGTTGATTAAACTACTCAAAAACTATTATGAACTGATTATTAGTATTTTAATGTTGTTAGAGAGCTTGTACATGAATAAAAACATTCTTCTACACATATTTCACATAAATCGATTATTCTAATCATATTTTTATGACAAAAATCAGTACACTCGAATATTTAAGGCTACGGAAATGATTACAAGTGAAATATTTCCTTTTACATTGAGATTGTGTTTTGATCAGTTAGAATTAGTTTTATTTTTTAGTTCAACTCCGCCCTGGAGGCCCTCCAGGACTATTGCTGGTTGCCGGGTTGGCAACCCCATCCCGGAGAAAACTGACTCGCTACATAAACGCTAACTGGAATAAGTAACTCGAACCATTTAAACTCTACCCTAGGGATGATAAAATCTTCATCTAGAAGAGTTATGAATTCTCATGATGAAAGCTGAGTTCCCTCAGAAGTCACGAGGCCAATGCTTCTTCTGACAACCAGAGCAACCAATAATTTAGGTACATGTTTACTGGAACTAAAGATTAAAAGATTTTACTTAAAGTTAGTATATCTTACAGTTATTAACATTTTATCATTATTTATTTAATTGGGGGATGGAGATTGCGAAAGTGGTCCTTTTTGTCTACTGGTTAGCTTGACCACCTGCGGAAGCAAGTGTAAGACAATTATGATGGTTCATTAAGAAGTAACCAATCCCTATGCCCTCCTCAAGGTCAAAGGAGAAGAGTAAAAACAAAGAACACATTACGCTGAGAATCGGAAGCAGATATGAAGAGACTGAACAGAAGTTGGATAGAACTGGATAAGAGGGCCCAGGAGAGAGTAGATTGGAGAATGCTAGTCGGTGGCCTATGCTGCACTAGTGATAATAGGCGTAAGTACGTAAACAAGTTATTTAAACACATAATTATTGGTACCAAAGGGGAAAGAACATACGTATGAGCCACACAAATTACTGAGCTTGTTTATGGGTTGGAATAATGGCCGAACTTCCAAAACAAAGTAAATAGTTTTCTAAGGGTACTGCACTTTGAACCTTTTATATACAGGCCTAATCAACAATGGAGTGAAGCAATGTTTAGAGATACAGGCCTATAGTAGTCGGTAACCAAAGATAGGTTCTTACAGTAGTTTTCCTCTCAGAACCCTGCAACCGATTTGCACCGTTGGTTTGGATTTAAGGTTTTCCAACTGATCTAGGTGAATCTTACATACCCACTAACCCGATTAGAGCCTTGGATACTCGCTTTCTGTCCTTTCAATTTGTTAAACAACAACCATGCCACGCGAAGTCAGTGATTAGAACTTCCCTGACAGTCATTATGCACGCGTGACCATCTGAGAGCATTTGAAGAGGGAGAACTTCCATAGCAGACCATTTGAAGGCTACAGTTTGTCTTTGAAAGGCAATAATTAGGCAGCATTCAAATATGAATAGCTAGGTCATACGTTCGAATTCCTCTCCACATATTTAGGTTTAAACAGTCATGTAGTACCACTAGCCATTAAATACAAATTTTATGACTCTTGGTAAATGAATAATAATAAGGAAACATAAATCATGCCTCTGTTCAATTCTAGTCGCTTATTACTCTCCTACATAACATACAACTTAATTATTAACTATAGTTAAATACCAAAACAGTTTTAAAAGCATAATGATTATGAAAGCATTTGAGATCGACTAAATAATGATTGATAGTTCACCGTAATTTGCAACAGCATCGTAACATCAAATTGAATTCGGTCAGTCAGTCAGTCAGCAAGCAACAACATAGAACTTCGTACATACAAACATCAGTTCAAGTTATCATACCACATTAGCACTGAGATGCCATTTTCAACTCCGTTCCCATAGTGGTAGAATTAGTAGAAGTGTAAGCAGTGATCGGAAAGATTAGGATTCGGAGATATTGTTCAAGGATTATAATTCAGTGAAATAAATTTCAGAAGAGAAAGATAAAGGTCATGAATTCCCATTAAAACTGAATTCGATAATCCTCTATCTTAGAAGAAGATTACAATACCACTACTCAATAAATGTTTTACATAGTATCTATTGGAATAGAGTATCAAGGAATAACTGATAGATGGATTGTTTGAAATCACTAGAACTCCGAGACAATACAATTACAGGCAGTCATACTGTTACGCTCGTCACTAGGTACGCTTGAAGCTATTACGAGTTCATCTTAGTCGAAAAAAAACACGAACGAGACAATGAACCAGCGTCCACGTAGGCTACCTTGAATCCCAGCAGAAAAACCGAAGTCTTGATAAGCGTAGAAAGTATATTCTACAACACCCAGCAATCACAATCCAATTAAGCACACAACTCTCGTTTATTTATGCACCATAGGAACGTCCTTGAGACAGTCACAAAAACACCACACTAAAATACACAGCAGCCAATCACAGCCATGGATTTTCCTGGTGGGAATTGAAATCTCAAGGTCAACTGATCAGCCCATGCTCGCAAACGTGAAATCCAAAATAAGGCACTTATCAAGCGAGTTCTGGGGATCTAACATCCCCAACACATACTCAGCGAATCCGAAGTTGAAATCAATTAGAAGAAGGTAAAACCACATATATTTAATATCCAATAGGTTCTGTTTATGAGTCTACACTCGATAACGGATCACATTTCACGCTTACTACCACACATCAAACGATTATACAGTTTATACACTGTGGTAAGAACTTCCATACTTGAATGAAACACTAGCAGCCCAATGATACACTCTGATTTTTATTTATAATGATACTTGACATGAGATTATTCTGTGCTGAATACAAACTCTTATCAATCAAATGTAGAAAAAAAAAATCAGTAAAAACTTACTTGAACAGCACCAATAAACAGCTGAATAAATCCTAATCCAGCTAGAATACCAGAAACTTTATTGATTTTCTCTGTCATCGCCTGCGAATTGTTACGTAAAGCAAATACCTAAATAAAATTAACATACATATATGTATATATACACGCATACACATACCATCAACTGAAACTTTATCATCGTATTCTAAATTCAATGTACAATAAATTTAGTATTTACTTACATCAATCTTGCTTATATTCAATGCAAACACAATGCATAATAGTCATCAGTTACAGTATACTAGTGATCTATTTGCATGTGTAAATTCTCTTTTCATTATACTACTTACTAGCATGTCAATCATTTTGTAGTCAATCAAAAATGTAATTGAAATTTTCTGACGACATACTGATCAATTTTGTAGAATTCAAAATGTGTATTGCTCACTTTTTTATAACTTGTCAGTGATGCAGCTGTACTGCAGTGTTTTGCTGTGCACTCTTAGACTCGAATCCGGTACTTTCTGCACTGAATGCTCAATATATGATCCAGATAGCCAGCCCATTTGTTTAATAAGTATGTATGTGTATTTTGTACAGATTGCTCAGATAAGGCTATCTTGTCCATTGTGATTACTTAGATAATTAAGCATATTACAACTGATGGAGCATAGGCTGCTGAGAGAGAAAATTCTCCAACCAACTTTGTCTTCTGCTCTTCTTTTCATTTATTCAAAAGTGCTGTCCATTCTTTGGAAGTTGGCCTCCAATTTTCGAAGAAAATGTTTCCTTGGTCTGTCTCTTTTACTTTGGTCTTGAGAATTCCAAGTTATGGCCTGGGTGATTTCCACAATGCTTTTCCTATCCGCAAGGTTAGTTTCATACAACTGAAGAACATTCACAACTCAAAACAAATATCAGCCGACCCGAAAGTCACAACTTTGAATGCATATGTTAAGACAGTTCTACTGTTGAAGAACTACGAAAGCCATAATCTACATAATTCAGGTGTTTATTAACAGTTGTCTACGCAAGATATTGCGGATTGGTTGGCCAGACACCATCAGCAACAACCTACTGTGGTAGAGAACAAACCAGATTGCAGTTGAAGGAGAAATTAAGAAGAAGCGTTGGAGGGCATAGGACAAACATTGTGGAAATCACCCAACTGCATCAATAGGCGCAAGCCATAACATGGAATTCTCAAGACCAAAGAAAAATTTTCTCCTGGAATTGGAGGCAGACATCCAAAGAATGGATAGTACTTTTGAACAAATGGAAAGGAGAGCAGAGGACAGAGTCAGTTGGAGAATTTTCGGTCATCAGCCTATGCTCTACGAGGGTTAACATTTGGAAGCAAGTTATCATGGATTGTTAAGAGAAAATTCTTCAGGCTAGTGAAAGTGTTAAACTGATTTCCTAAAGTTTAATATTCTACACACTAGTCAAAATGTGCTGTTACGGGTATGAGGGCGGTTATCACTTCCCGGCTGCTCACACCGTGGAAGGTTGTTTCTTGAGGGACCTGAAAAGGATTAGTGTTGGTCTTAGAGACCTGGGTGCGTGACCGCAGAGCTCAAGAGACAATTGCTTGAGGCCGGTCACGCACGGCCTTTTTATGAAAGGTTTTTTGAGTATTAGCTCCGCTCTTGAAAGCCCGTAGTGGGCACCCTTACCGACGGAGACGGAAATCTGTGGGGTAGGGTGAGATGTGACATTTTTAGGGTCGATCTTTTCTAACCCTTCGTTCCTTGTGAGAAGGCAGCATCGCTGCAGATGCTGGTTGTCCGAGGGAAACACCTTACTGTTGTCACACCCCTTCATCACAGACAGCAGAACAACTTCGCCCTCAGACCTTGAGTAGCTGCTTTTAGTCTCATCGCTCTCCAATCGACCTGCCTGGCATAGTAGAACCTTCAGGAACATATGTTCCAGCCAATATAGCTCGGTTGGGTCATGACGATAGGCAAGCTTGACCACCACGTCAAGGAGGTAGCAGCCACGGTTGAGTTGACTAACCATAAAAGAATAAAATGGTTTCTATTGATACAATAAGAATGGTATTTATTATGAATAAAACTAAATACAAAGTCAATCATCATTATTGAATATGTGTGTATTTTTACCTGATACACTTCCGAATAAAGTAATGAAAATGCTGGTTGTAATAGTCCTGATATAATTGAACAGATACAACCCATTGTAATGTAAATCAATTCTGGTCGATTGATACTTAAAAGACGTAAGTACAATGAATTGTGAAATCTACTCATCTGAAAGAAGACCGATAAAAAACACATTGAAAAGAGGAATAATTCATATGGTGCTTTATTACGTAACTGTACAGTAAGTAAAACGATAGAATTTAATTAATAAACCATGATTTTGTGAATAGGTGCGTTCATCATTCAAACAAGCGATCAGTGCTTGAGTATCTTTACATAGACAGGCAGTGTAGTGTCTTATGGTGTAAAAAACTGCTTTCTGTAAGTTAACTAAACATAACATTAAGTAACCTGTTTTTAGTCAAAGGAGGAAGTTGATTGTCAATAGGTTATGATGGAAACGCAGCATCATTGACAACCAAGGTGGATCCAATGCAGATGTGAGGGCTCGGATTGGCAAAGCAAGGGCTACATTTCTATAATTGAAAAATATCTGGAACTCCAAACAACTATCAATCAACACCAAAATCAGGATTTTCAATACAAATGTCAAGATAGTTCTACCGTATGGAGCGGAAACTTGGAGAAATACGAAAGCCATCATCCATGAGATGCAAGTGTTTGTTAATGGTTGTCTACGCAAAATACTTCGGATTCGTTGGCCAGACACTATCAGCAACAACGTACTGTGGGAGAGAACGAACCCGATCCCAGTGGAGGAGGAAGTCAAGAAGAAGCGGTGGAAGTGGGTAGGACACACACTGAGAAACGCACCCAAGTGCGTCACAAAACAAGCCCTCACATGGGACCCTCAAGGTAAAGGGAAAAGAGGAAGGCCAAGGAACACATTACGCCGAGAAATAGAGAAAGATTTGAGAGGAATGAACAAAAACTGGAAAAAACTAGAACGGGAAGCCCAGGGCAGAGTTGTTAGGAGGAAACTGGTGGGCGGCCTACGTTCCAATGAGGGTAACAGGCATAAGTAAGTAAGTAAGTATGATGGAAACGATTCGCTATCAAATAACCGATACGAGAAATGATATTTCTGATAGAATTCAAACGGACGAATAATGATTTCAATGAAATTCATCAGTCTTCTCATTCCCTATAATGAATGTTATCGTGTGTTCATTAGTGACTAGTTTCGAGAGGAGTTTTTCGGAGTCCTAGTGAGAAGTCGTGACTTTTGTAGTTCAAGCGTGTCAGGTATGATGCAGGCACCCACTGAAGACAGTTCGTGAAGTCGCATAATACCGTGGATTTTGATTCAAGTTACACATTTGGCACCATCGGACACGGGTTCGATGGCCTAGAGGTCAAGCATTGGGGCGTGAGAGCGAAGGTCGTGGGTTCGAGTCCCGTGTACGATGGTCATCTGTAGGGGACGTTAGATTCCTAGAACTCGCTTGATAAATACCTTATTTTGGATTTCACGGTTGCGAGTATGGGCTAATCAGTTGACCTTGAGATCTCATTCCCCACCAGGAAAATCCATGGCTGCGATTGGCTGCTATGTATTTCAGTGTGCTAATTTTGTGACTGTCCTAAGGACGTTTCTGTGATGTATAAATAAACGAGAGTTGTGTGCTTAATTGTATTGTGCTTGCTGGGTGTTTGTAGAATATACTTTCTACGCTTATCATGACTTCTCTTTAGCCGTTTCAGATCAAGGTAGCCTACCTGGACGCTGATAATTGTCTCGTTCGTGTTTATCGACTGAGGTGAACCCGTAATAGTTTCAAGCGTACCTAGTGACAAACCTAACATCGTCAATGACTTCTGCCCGCAGGAATCGGACCCAGGACCTTCGGTTTGGTGCGCGAACACCTAACCTCTAAACCCCTAAGTCGGCTTTCAGTGGTAGTAATAACCAACTCTAATCAGTTTGAGTTATGGCGCGACTTCACCTATTATCTTCAGTAGTAACTGCCTACACCCAACGTGCTTTACGTTCACTGATCATCACCTCTCTCATGAACTTCGAGAATTTGCTCACGTAGCTAGCTAATCACACTAATAAGTACATTTTATGATATTTTATTATATAAAACTGATAATTTCACACAACTTGACCACCTGATAAAAAGTCACAATGAATGATCATCAAAATACTTTGTGTATGCAAGGGTCATGTAGAAAGAGTTAGATAACAATGACCTATAATAAAAATGGAGTAAAAGTAGTATTTGTTATCTGTTAATTATTTTCAATGTATGTTTTGAGGCATCCACGTTGTGTCTATCATCCATTGAATGTATAGCGCCTCACATACATTTGAGTTTGTTGCCGAGTTTAATTTGGTTAAACTCTCCGTGAATATGATCAAGTTAGACATTAACAGCGTTAGATACCGGCTCAGTGGTCTATCGGTTAGGGCGTTTGCGCACAATACCGAAGGTCCTGGGTTCGAATCCTGCGGGGTGCAGGAGTCGTGGATGCGCACTGCTGAGGAGTCCCATACCAGGACGAAACGGCCGTCCAATGCTTCCAGGTTTCTAATGGTGGTCTAACATTGATCGATTCATGGTTTCAAAAATGTGTAACTTAACAATCTTCACAACCTCGTTATGTAAACTCTCTTTATTAACTTATTTAAAAGATAGAGTGATTAGAACAGTGACAGTATTTGTCTATACTATTGTACTTTTATTATTGTCACATATTGGGTAGGATCACCAGCTCTCTTGCCTTCGCTACTCTTTGCTTTCTTTACAAACGTTTTACTTCCATGTCTATCTGTATGGCCACTGGCATGAAATAAACTCATCCAACTGAGTTCATATTTGGCTTTTTATTACCGACGTCACTCAAACGGGGTTCAACTAAGTGTATGATATACGGAAACTGAAGTGAAGATTTATTTCATAGTACATATAACTGTTCGTAAATATCAGAGTGATGAGCATTGATTAAAACATATGCACCGATGTATTCTACTAGCTTTTGTAGTGGAACACTTCTACGAAGAAAACGCGATTGGTGAAAAATAAACTGTACTAAAAACACTTAGATACGCGCAACGTTCTTTTTTTCGCGTTGCTGCTATCCTTCATAACTTGCTGCTCACTGTATCGCCTTCTTTCTCCTTCAAATATATTCTTTACCCTAGATTTATTTGTGATTTTGCTGACGGGATAGTAATCAGTATTTAGTGATGATTATAGTCAATCTGGACTCGGTCACCACAAAACTTTATTGTTAGTCACTGAAATAATTCGGTGAGTCATTCATTATCCCTTATAAATATGCTTGTGTGTACATTATCATCCTACTCATTCTCTCGCTTCTCGGCACTCTCATATCATTTGGCATTCGCTTTGTATGCCTGCGTTTTTCTAATTGGTGTGACACGATAATAGATGTCATCAATGCTTTGTATTAAGTCTTTTGAATTGAATACACCATTGGGCATTATCTAGTAACGATTACCAGGATAAGCAGTATACGAAGTTTAGGAATTATATCGAATGCTGATTAGATTTCACTTGTAAAAAACTTTTTGTTGGTCACATTGAACTCGAAGTAGGGCTCATTACTTTAGTAGCCCTTGAGCTGACTCCTTTGCTTACGAACTATTAAATATGCTATGAAATAAATCTCCACTTCAGTTTCCATATATCATACATCAGAGAACCCCATTTGTGCGACGGCAGCAGTAAGATGCCAAATATGAATTCCATTGGATGAGTTTATTTCAAGCAATCGTTCATGCAGACAAACAAAGCAAAGAGAAGCAAATTGGAGAAGGCGAGTATGTCAACTCAATGTAATGAGGCACGACGAGCTATTTATAGCCAGACAAGAAAGCATTGAACACACCTACATACAGTCAAATAGAAACAACCAAGGTAAAAAAGCGAATATTTGACAAGGTCGGAAGATGTATGAATACTAACTCGCAAGGTATGTTTTGTTTAAATTGTCCAAATGCTGAGACAAGCCCTGGAGGCTCGTCCGTAAAAGTACACACACAACAAAGTACACTCCTTTTTTGAAACACAACTCGATAATAAACTAAACCGTTTATGACATCTAATCATGATGTTATTTATCTTTCTGTTAAAATTCTTATATATTTTTTTGGTGTTGGTTAGTTGTCCTATTTATAGCATACTGTTTCATTTTACATATTGTCTATTGAACAGGATTTATTTACTTAATTCAAACAAACAAAACTATCATAAAACAAAATCAAATCATGAATGAATCATTGTTAGATCACCAATTGAAAGTTGGAGGCATTAGACGGCCTTTTCGTCCCAGCTTGGGACTCATCAGCAGTGTGCAGTCATGACTCCCGCTGCTTGCAGGATTCGAGTCCAGGACCATCCATCTTGCACATAAACGCTTAACCTCTAGACCACAAATCGTCATTCAACGGTGTTGATGGCTAAGGATTTCGCGCAACCTCACTCATTGTCTTCGGTAGTTACTGCACCTGCACCGAACAGGATTGTACTCCGCTGGTCAGGTCTTCTCACTAGAACTCCGAGAATATCCTCATGTAACTAGTCACAAGTGAGAATATTTCTTGGTTTTGCATTCGGGTATTATGGAGATCGTAGATTTACTTTGAAATCATGAGTGAATCACTGTAACAGGAGTCGTGAATGTGTTTTGCTGATGAGTCCCATACCAGGACGAAACTCCTGTCCAGCGATTTCAGGTTTCTGATGATGGACTAACAATGATTAATTCATGATTTCGAGGTAAAATTACGATCTCCATAATATTTGAATTCAAAATCGAAAAATGAAATGTTCAAAATTGAATTTCTATTACTAACATATTGTCTATTGAACAGGATTTCCATATTTTATTTAAACAAATAAAATTATCATGAAAAAAAAATTATCAATGTTAAAAAAAGTGAATTTATATTACTAATGTAATGTTTTATTGGCATAAAAGTGTAAGTTGTTAAATGTTTGTATATTTGTGTATATCAATCAACACCAAAATCAGCATTTTCAATACAAATGTGAAGACAGTTCTACTGTATGGAGCGGGAACTTGCAGAACTACCAAAGCCATCAACCAGAAAATGCAAGTGTTTATTAACAGTTGTCTACGCAAAATACTTCGTATTCGTTGGCCAAACACTATCAGCAACAACGAACTGTGGAAGAGAACAAACCAGATTCCAGTGGAGGAGGAAATCAGGAAGAAGCGGTGGATTTGGTGGATAGGACACACACTGCGAAAAGCACCCGACTGCGCCACGAGACAAGCCTTCACATGGAACCCTCAAGGTCAAAGGAAAAGAGTAGGGCCAAGGAACACATTACGCAGAGAAATAGAGAAAGACACGGGAAGAATGAACAAAAATTGGACAGAACTAGAATGGGAAACTCAGGACAGAGTTGGTTGGCGAAAACTGGTGGGCGGCCTATACTCCATTGTGGGGTAACAGGCGTAAGTAAGTAAGTAAGTACATTTGTAAAATAACTAACTAACCTTTGTGTTAATATTTGTTGTAATCCAATGAACAGTTTTATGACGAAATGAATTTGTTTTGACACTCTACAATAAAATAAAAATGTACAATTTTTTTTAAAAATTATTTTTGATTTCAAAGTTTCTTTATCAAAGAAAACGAACCAGTGAGAAATCAACTGAAAAGACAGATATATTCAGTCGCATCAAATCTATGGAGATTAATTTAAATCTATTGAAAAATTTACGTCAATTTCGATTCCATCCATCCGTCGACTACTTTAGAACTGTGTCAGCGATCTACTTTAATCTAGTTTCATGGATTAAAAAAATGGTTGGATAATTGAATAGAGTATATATGATATGATTAGGTGTGGTGATTCAGTAGTATCTAGTGTTAGCAGTCAGTCAGTCAGTCAATTAACTACGACTTAGAACTTGTTATTTCAGTACATCAGTTCAAGTTGTCATATCACATTAATGCACAAAGATCAAATTGTCAATTCAAATCCGATTGTAGTAGAGGTAGTAAAAGTATTAGCAGCAGTTCACTTTGTCCAAATATACGGATATGGAATATGCCCAGTAAGAGTCAAGGATATTTGTAAGGTTATTAGTATTCTTTCATAAGTGTCTTTAAAGCAATGCTCGCAGATGCTAGGATATCCAAGTAGGCAATATTAGTATTTGGAAAGGGGTGGCAAATCAATAGATGAAGTATTGAAAATACATCAGCTGAGGTGGTTGAGACACGTACCACGAATGCTCAACCATTGACTTCCTCGACGAGCTATGTTTTGTGGTGTAGAGGTAGACTGGAAGAAAGATAAGGGGGGTCAAACATGTTACAAATGCATGAATTCATTGAAAAGTGGACCGAGCCATGTTAGCAGGTGTAGATTACCTGGTTGGAATACGTGAGATAATAGTAACCCAAAGTTAAAAACTTTGAATGAGATGGCTCACAATCGTTTGCAATGGCACATGTGCATCCATACTTTGTGTTCTCTCAAATCATAATCTTCTGAATTCCCCATCACCTCTACTTTTCTCTTTCTAAACTTACCTCACTGAAATAAACTTCTTGAACCTTATATCTTCTCTGATTACTGCTCATACTTTTACTACGTCTACTACTATGGGATTACAACTGACTCTTGGGTCTTTGTGTGTTAATGTGGTTTCACAACTTGAACAAATGTACGTAGGTACATACGAAGTTTCTACAATGCAGATGATTGATTGACTATTAATGTTGTCATTTAATTCATCTCATAGCATTATCTGAATAAATAATGCAACAACTATCGCCAACCAATTAAAAGTACAACACAACACAACACAGTGAACATGTTTACGAAAACACATACAAAACTTTCGGAATAATCTTCTTTTTCACTGAGAATTGTTGAACGTCTACTTAAAATATTAGTTTGATTGGAAATGCCTTTATCATCCACGAGGTCATCTTCTTGTTGATCAGTTCTCTCCTTTCAATGCAAAATAAAGGTAGAAAAAAGATTACAAAATGTGATGATTTTATTAGAATTAAGTTTAGTAATCAAAATTTAGTAGATGAGAACTATACTATGAAAGGCTTATTTTAGTCAAGTGCACCTGTAAACTTAACTCCTTCTGAAGCACCACCAGGGATGCCACCGGTCCCAAGCTCGGATAAAGCAGGAGGGTTGGGATTGGGGTTGATGTCCCCATCCTGAAAAAAACGCTAACAAGAAAAAATAATTCAAACCATTGAAGCTATGCTCTGGGAGTTAGAAGGTCTTTATTTTCGAAGTGTTCTGAACTCTCATGGTGAAAGCCGAGTTCCTTCGGAAGTCACAAGGCCGATGCCCCTTCTGACAGTCAGAACCCTTCCAAGATGTGAGCAAACGAGAAGTAACATCCGCTCTCATACTCAAAAAAGCATACGAGACTAAATCAGTCAGAATCAAATCCACCTGTGATCTAATTGCAATAAAACCAAATGATAATTATTTTATTGATCGAATGATAATTCATACAATTTGTTCATTAGTGACTAGCTTCGTGAGGAAATTCTCGGAGTTCTCTAGTGGGAAGACGTGACCAGCGGAGTTCAACCCTGTTGGGTGTTGGCAGTAACTACCGAAGATAAGTTGATAAGGTCACGCGGAATTCCTAGACATTAACACCGTTGGAAGCCAGCCTAGTGGTCCAGAGTTTGACAGTTTGCGCTCAAGACCAGAGGTCCCGGGTTCGATTCCTGTGAGTAGCAGGAGTCGTGGATGCGGGCTTCTGATGAGTCCCATAATAAAGAACGAGATGACCATCCAGAGCTCCCAGGTTTCTAATGATGATATAACAATGGTTGATTGAAGAATTCAGTGTGTAAAAATAAAAATGATCTCCATAACTCCTACTTTTCTTCAAACAACAGTATATCAAAAGCCAAAATACTGAAGTTTCAAATGAGTAGATTTCATGTATTTGTTTACTAAAGACCAACTGTTCAAAGTGCAGCACCAAAAATGACTCTCTAGTCTATGTAATTTTTTGTAAATGTCGTACGGTATTAATAATCAGACAGATCAAAAGAGAATAAATAACCTTTAACTCCTTGTTATTTCTCTATAACTATTTCGTCATCTTATGTTTATTTATTAATATTTATTCCCTTTTTATCTCAAGAAAGTAATTAAAAATTGTTGTTATTGCTCATTATTTTTCAGTTAAGTGATATAACAGATAAATATTCCTTCAGTATTCAACTTTTTTCCACAGTATGAACTCTCATAACTAATACAAATTACTAGATCTGTCGTTTCGAACATTGTTGCTGGGAAGTCGATAATGTGTTTATGACTACGTTGTATATGGTAAAAAGCATTTGAGAACATGTATACTGTTATGCTCATCAGTTGATATACTTGAAACTATTACGAGTTTATCTTAGTCGGTAAACGAGAGCCAAGACAAATGATCCAGTGACACGATAGGCTACTATAATATGAGCGTGCAAACGCCCCATCAAGTAGAGGAAGAAGTCTTGACAAGACGTAGGAGGTGTATTTTACATGCACCTTAAAAATCCAGGTTCACAAATACACAAATCGAGTTTATTTATACAGCATAGAAACGTCCTTGTGAGAGCCGCAAAAGTAGTGTACTAAAATAATACATCAACCAATAACAGTCAAGGATTTTTAGGGTGGGAAATGTAATCTCAAGGTCAACTAATCAGCCCATACTCGAAAATTAGGACCTTTTCAAGTGAGTTGTGGCGATATAACGTCCCCAACATATACAAATACAAGTCAGTAAATCATGTATTTTTTAAATATCCCCAATCATACCTTAGAATTTTCATCGATAGGGGATAGGGGATAGCATTCTTAAGCATTATGAAAAATTTGTCAGTCGGTAAAATCACGCTAATAACTGGTAATGAATAATAGGGTAAGTAGAAAATAGGTGAACGTAAAACAACAGTCAACGTTACAAGTGAATCCTAAGCAAACGGTGAAATACATTTCTCTACGTCTTATCAAGACTTCTTCTACTTAGTGGTGCATGTGACAATCGGATTAGAATAGCCTATTGCGTCACTGCGTCGCTGATCTTCGTCCCGTTTACTGAGTAAGGTGAACTCCTAATAGCTGTAAGTATATCAAATCTGTTCAAAGGTTGTTATCTGGAAGTGACAGTTCTTTTGAGTTGTAGATGTTCTTCAAGTGAAGAAATACTACCATAGCCTTGCTTATCCAAGTCATTACACGTTCATCAGATCCACCTTATTCATCAGTGATGCTATTCGAGTAAGTAAAGTCTCCACAAATTTCCAGAGATTCTGCATCAAGTATGATATGGTTGTGCATGCTGTGTCGTATCGGAGGATCTCATCTTTCCATTGAGTATGTTGAGACCTACTGCTTCAAAGGTTGCTGCTACACTGACTGTAGGCGTCTGCATTTGCTGTTTTGCCTGAAACAGAAGAGCTCAGTCAGTCATCGATGAAGTCCAAATCTTCTGGCTGCATCCAAGCTGTACACTATATTCCACTGAGATGATGACGTCTTCACAATCCAGTCAACCACCAGGAGAAAGAAGAGTGAGAGTAAGCAGCCTTACCTTATATAGGTCTTTCCTTCGAACGAGTCTGTCATCTATCCCTTGTTTGCAGTGTAGTTTATCATAAGAATTCTGTATGATGTTGATAGTCTTCTCTGATACACCATAGTATCGAAGAAGCCACAATAGCTTCATCCTGTCCACACTAATATATGCTTTCTCGTAGTAAAGGAAGTTGATGTGTGGTGGTGAAGTACATTCACTTGCTTGTTCCACAACGTTGCAATGTGGTCGGTACATGATCGATCCTTATGAAATCTAGACCGTTGATCTTGAAGTTTGGCGTCCGCTGAACCTTTCATTCTGTTTAACAACACCCTGTTGAAGACTTTGTCTGGTATTGAGAGAAGAGTAATGCCTCTGTAGTTCTCACAATTTCGAAGATCACCTTTCTTTGGTATCCTTCTTTTCAGTCTGTTGGTACTTGTTCCTCCTCACAAATCTTCGTGAAGAGAGCGTGGAGTACCTTTGCAGTTAATGTTATGTCTGTTTTTAGCACCTCACTAGGTATGTTGTCTGGTCCTTTTGCTTTTCTACTCCTGATTTGTCTGATGACCTTACTGATCTTTTCAATGACTGTTGGGTCAACATCGATTTGGAGGTCCCCAGTTGAGGAAGACATTTGGTAAAAACACTGGAGGTGGATAGGACACACACTGAGGAAATCATCCAACTAAATCACATGGCAAGCCCTAGGGTTGAAATCTCAGATCCAAAGGAACAAACTACAGCGAGAATCGAGACAGACATGAAAAGAGTAGGTTGGAATAGAAGGGATGGTAGAGAATAAATTATGTTGGAGAAGGATGATCAGCGACCTATGCTGCATGAAGGCTGACAAGCGTAAGTTATTAAGTTGTACTTACAATTACCACTCCAACTATATTTCGAATCAGATCACGACAGTATAGTGCCTCCTCATATATTCGAGTTCGCTTACGTCTAACTTGGTTGAGCCCTTTCGATTAATTTATTTAACCAAGCCATTTGCGTAGCCACAACTTATTTGTACCATTCGTTCTCATTATTGTCTGGTTTGTATGAGCTCACATGACGTGTCCCACTTGTCATTTGACCTTGTCAATCATTCGTCGCTTTTATTCATGTGTGCATGCCTATTTCGCTTGTCGCATGTCTGTCTTATATTTGTCTGACTATATATTCTTAGTCATGCTCTATTTCTTGGAGTTGGCTCATTAGCCTTCTACAACGCGCTTCGCCTGTTCATTCGCCTCCTTCACCCATTCGTTCGCATTGTAATCCTAGGAGTTGGCTCAGCAGCCTTCTCCAATTCACGTCACTTCATTCGTTTTATTCACTACTTCTCCGCTTCGCTTTGTGGTGTGTCCCAAATAAACGTATTCATCACTACGAATTCACCTTCTGATACATAACCGTCAGACGCTATTTGGTAACGATTGTCTAGACGAGCTAATTACCGAGCTTAAGAACATGCAGTAAATCGATACACCACAACAGTTTCTTGCTCTCTTAACGTTGCCTGCTTTCGAAACAAAGAAAAGATTCTAGAAGAGCTTAAGTCACATTTGAATTAATTTAGCTATAAGCTGATTAAATTCAGATGATTATTAGTTACAGTGTAACGAACGAAGACGTTGGGACCAAATAAGATACAGTTTACTAGCAAAATATGTGCACCTTATCTTCAGACCTCCACCTGAAAAACATGGGGAATTCTTTTACATACTTTCATTACGTCATACATTCGAATTCGGCACTCTTCATTTCAGCAATCACTTCCAAACAACACTCCACTGCATACTACTACTACTTATAAGCGCTACATTGCAAGTAGTATACACCAAAACAGAAATTCAAAACATTGAACACATATATATACAAAAAAATATAATCAAATATTACTTACTTGACCATAATACATTGTTGCATATAAACCATTCATTTGTAATAATTCTTTATGTTTACCCATTTCACGTATACAACCTTGTTCTAAGACTACAATACAATCTGCATTGATAATGGTAGATAGACGATGTGCTATCACCAGAACTGTACAACCACCGACAATTTTATCTAAAGCTGCTTGTACTACACGTTCCGATTGATTATCCAATGCCGAAGTGGCTTCATCCAGTAATAATAATTTCGGTTTACGTATTAATATCCGAGCAATAGCTATACGTTGTTTTTGTCCACCGGATAATCCACTGCCTTTTTCACCGATTAATGTATCATAACCCTGTATATGAGTATAATAATCATAATAGTAATTTGGTTAAGTTTATTGTTTAAATGATGATTATATATCTATTTTTTTCAATTAGAGTTATGGAGATTTGCGTTTTTTTTACACATTTGAAATCATCAATCAGTGATTGTTAGACTACCATTGGAAACCTGGAAGCACTGGACGGGCGTTTCGTCTTTATTCTAGTGTATCTGTTCATGAACATTATATGAAATAAGACTGAGGTAGAACTTGATAAAAGCAATCAACAGCGTCACAAGACAAGCTCTCACTTGGAATACTCTAGGTTAAAGGAAAAAAGGAAGGCCAAGAAACACATTACACCGAGAAATGGAGATAGACATGGGAAGGATGAACAAAAATTTGACAGGAGTGTAAAAGGAACCCCAGGACAGAGTAGAATGGAGAATGCTAGTCGTTGGCTTACGCTCATCCATTGGAGGTAACAGGCATAAGTAAGTAAGGAATAAGGAGGAGGACTTGATAATTTTAAATAAACTGAACATTGGATAGAAAGATAATTATATTTTGTCAATCATTCTGTATACTACGATATCAATGTGTTTGTTTATGTGGGTATGAAAAAAGTATGTATCAAGTGGAGTTAAATATAAACATGTCGATATGTTTGTGTTGAAATGAAGGCGGAAAATGAACAGGTTTATATATATGAGAAGCTACTTAAAAAAGACAATGAATGAGGTTGTGCAATATCAGGGATTGGTCAATGTTAGACATTATTACCGTTGGATGCCGGCTAGCTCAGTGGTCTAAAGGTAAAGCGTTCGCTTGCAACACCGAAAGTTCTGAGTTCGAATCCCGAGTGCAAGGGTAGTAGTAGATGTACACTACTAATGAGTAGTTCCATACTATAAGACAAAACAGCCTTTCAGTGCTTCCAAGTTTCTAACACCGGTGTAACATTCATTCCTATGTTATAATGACATTAATTCCTCCTTGCAATCCAATCAAATCAGCAATAGTTAACAAATCATTGAAAATGAAATGAGAGAAACCAAAGAAGTTGTTACATAATAACATTATAGTCTATCCACTTACACTTAACTGATACTAAAATAATCAATATACATCATCAGGGCAAGCATCAATTAAATTAATATTTAAATTTCGCAGACATAACAACAACATTTTTCAATCAATCAATGATGTTCAAACTTTTTAGCATTGTTCATTTTTAATCTAATGATTGCATGAGATAATAAATAATAACATACTTGTACATATATTTATTAGGTTAAAGAGAGAAGGACCTGACTGTCTGTCTGCTTATGTATTTAAATATTTTAGTACAACTAAGTATCACCACCAGACAGTTAAAAAAAAAATCAGATTATAGTAAAGTGATAGAGAGAGAGAGAGAACGGTGAGTATAATAAAACAAAATGAAGAGACATTAAATGCGAGAGTGAAATAACAGTGATAGTAACAATAATAGAAATCGTAGTAGGATAAATAGTTCAGTTACGGGAAAATAGAACACAAAAATCTTTTCAATCAAAGTTGTTCCACTTGAGTATGTGAACAAAATGAAATAGATTCACAGCAGGGACTGACGCTGATTTCGATAACATTTTAAGCTAATGAGTCATGTTATCTCTAGGTCACCATGTTATATATAAACTGACGATATCTCCGTTTTTCCGATCAGTTAAAGCGATGGCAATTCGCCTTGAACGACATTCGTAGTGTGGTGCGCGCTACTTATAAGTAGTATATGACGCGAGTGGAAACGTAATGTCTGGCAGCAGAAGATGGGGGAAGATCAAGAAAGGAAGAGTGGGGAGAACACAATGTAATTTGGATGAAACGCGTGAACAGTGACAATGTCAGACAATGGATTGAAGATTTGCAAATTAACGATTTACGATATGGTTTTCCTATTTTACTAAGTAACTCTGTAATTTCCGTTAAATACAATTCGGTTGCCCTCACCTGTGTTCTCCTTTACTACAGTAGTACATATCTGAGTCACTGAAGTCGGTGTTTAAAGAAGATGAAGATGCTAACGAACACACGTTGCTGGACTTCTGAAATACTGATGTAGTTTTGTCACTAAATGTCGGAAATCCTACGGACACAACCATGATTGAACACGGAGAGTTTCTGAAAATCTTCAGTCTGGAGAGACTAGGTTTCATAAACATAGGGCGAAACTGCTTTCACAAATGCATTTCACTGACATCACTAAGTTGCCGTAGATGGTACAGATTTGTATAAGTCGCGCTCTGGCCTTTATTTTACATGAGTCGACCTCATCACTCACGTTAATGCCAGAGCTTACACAGCTATCCAGGTACATGAAATTTTCGACTACTTCTATCTGTTCACTAACAAGAGTGAGTGAGTGAGTGAAAGCTCAGGCACCTGTCAGTCTTGAAAAAGTACTTTGCGCTTAGATGAAATGCACATACCATAGAAATCGATACATTGCCAACTAATTAGGTGAGCATTATATAGCCTGGAAATCACCACACAATGAGACATTATCATTCCTATATTCAAGGATGAAAAATTTTTCTTCAGATAAAAGATTAACGCCATTTTTACCTACATCAATTAGAGTTGTTTCCATAACGTCATCGATGGTCAGCTGAATATGGTTCCATACAATTTGTTCTATAGAAAGTTTTACTCTATTTCAAAATATATTTTTGTGTAAAAATACTTGAACAAATTAGATTGCATTGAAAATTCTGTACAGAGTTATTTATGGATATTGTTATCTATCATTGAAATCCCGAGTCGATCATTGTTAGACCATCATTAGAAACCTGTAAGCGTGAGCCAAGGATGCACACTGCTGATGAGTCCAATGCCAGGACGAAACGGCCATTTTTCAGTGCTTTCAGGTTTCTAATGGTGATCTAACAATGATCGATTCATCATTTCAATGAATTGAAAATGTGTCCTAATCATCTATTGAATTTCATGTCCTTGAAATGTTTGTTTTTCTTAAATACTACTGAATCAGTCAATTTGAGAAAAACAGTAAAAAAAATTAGTCAAATGATTAATTGAACTTAAACTCATAAATTCAGTGATAAATTAATTTAAATTTACAAGAAAAGTCAATTCTTTTTACAATGGATAGGATCAGATTATTTGCATGAAAACGTTGTAGAGATTGTTGAGTTACTTTCTGAAATCATGAATCAATCATTATTAGATCACAGTTAGAAATCTGAAAGGTTTAGATGGCCGTTTCGTCATAGTATGAAGTTGTGCAAGACTGTGGATTGATTCAAGTTAGACGTTAACACCGTCATATGCTAGCTCAGTGGTTCATAAGTAAAGCGTTCGAATGTCCTAGGTTCGAATCTTGAGGGTTGCGAGAATCGTGGATGCGCACTGTTGACGAGTCCCAATACCAGGACGAGAAGGCCGTCTGGTACTTTCAGGTTTCTAATGGCGATCTAACATCGGTCAATCAGATTATTGTATTACTTCAGTAAGTGTTTAATTTTAAGGACGTGGGGATAAAATTACTCAATGAAACATTTTTCATGCTGAAGCCAATATTAAGAAACCCTATCGGAAATAAGTTAACACTTAATATTCTGTAGCAAAGTTACATTTTATCCCGAACTTCATGAATTCCCAACGTTATTATTCTATCAACGCGGCAGGATATTCAGAAGTTGAGATGAAATGTTCTAGGAACAGTTTATTTTCACTGTTTAATTCCTGTGACATGAACATTTTATCGGATTTCAGAAGAGTGAATTATCGAATGTTTTAAGTATTCCAATGTCTAAGTGGATCGAATAGATCAGAGCATACACCCAATACAACAAACTGATTTCTACAGGCATGTAAATACACATGAAAGTATGGGTAAAAATAATTTTAATCATGAATCGATAATTGTTAGACCACAATTAGAAATCTTGAAGCATTGGACAACCGTTTCGTCCGAATATGGGACTCATCAGCAGTGCATGGGAATCAAACCTAGGAGCTTTGGTCTCGCACACGAACGCCTAACGTCTAGAGTACTAATCCGACATCCAACAGTGCTTATACCTAACTTCAATCAATCCAAGGCATTGTGCAACCTCATCCATTATCTTTGGTAGATAACTATGTGTTATGTTCGTCAACTGATATGCATGGAACTATTACGAGTTCACCTTAGTCGTTAAACGAGAGCTAAGACAAGTGATCCATTGACACGATAAGCTACTCTAATCCGTGCGTACCAAGCCCCCACTAACGGTTATTCAAAATTCTTGGTATAGCGTAGAAAGTCTATTCTACAAGCACCCAGAAAATATGAGATTTTGTACAGAAGGAGTAGAGGAGCATAAAACCTTACAGACAATTCATATTTATACAGTCAGGTCGACCGTGAATATTAACCAATAGGAAAGAACATTTAAAAGTAGGTGAACTTGATAATTTAAGATGACCTTAAATATTGACCAATAGAATTAGACTGTCAAAGTAATTTCTTTAGGATATTTGATGGCTGTCCTAAGACTATCTCACAACCAACAGAGCTGAACTTCACTAGTCAAAGCTTCTCACTAGAACCTCGAAAATTTCCACACGATGCTAGTCACTAACTAGCGAGTATGCTCATATTGTAGTGAATGAGAACATAGGTGGGGCAACCGAATTGTATTTAACGAAAATTACAGTGTTACTCAGTAAAATCGGAAAACCATATCGTAAATCGTTCATTTGCAAAAGATCAGTTCATCATATCGAACTGGACGGTTCCTGTTGCCAAACATCAATCCATTGTCACTATTCATGCGTTTCATACAAATTCCATTGTTTTCTAACTCTTCCTTTCTTGATCTTCCCCCCATATTATGCTACCAGACTTTACGTTGACACTCACGTTATATACTACTTATAAGTAGTTCGCACCACAGCACCACAATATGACTTCATTCACTCAACAATTTTCTTAGTTCTATTATATAAGTTTTGATTTATCATAGATTAAAATACCAATTTATTCAACAAAATTGATTCATTTTTAAAAGTTTTAATTAGTCTGAACATGAACATATTGTTGATGTACAGTTTTTTTTTCTGTTATGCGGATGATGTTTTATCAAACTCTGCTCTACATACAATTCAATGTTAAATAATCTTTTTAATCTTAGAGAATATATTCATATTAGCCAAAAAAAATATTTGAAACACAGTTTAAAGTTCGAAATTTTCATGATATGTTGTACATTAAATTATTTCTCATGATAAATTTTAATGTATGTAGGTAAATACATACGTATATGTGCGATACTACTTATAAAATTGAACTTTAATCTCGAAAACTATGAAAATGTGTGAATAGTTCCAAAGCACTTTTTAAAAAAACAATAATTTTCGTTTGAAATGATGATATTTTATCAAGCTTTTAAAAAATTTGAATCAGAGTTTAATATTTACATGAAATAATCACAATTTTTTTTGTGAAATTAAATGTGGATGAGTTAAAAACACCTCAGCAAATAACTGATACCATAGTCTTTTTACTTAATTTTTGTCAAAATAATATACATTTACGATTCTATTTTTAAATTATAACTCATCTGTTGAGAACCTAGATTAATGGTTGCTGTGGTTGTTGGAAGGGTTATAGGACTAGTGACTTCCGAATGAACTCAAATTTTATCATAAGGCGTCTGTTATATTCACCAGACGATATGCTTCAATGCTATTACGAGTTCATCTTAGTCGGTAAACAAGAGCCAAGACAAATGATGCAGTGACATGATAGGCTATTCGAATAGGAGCGTTCCAACGCCCCACTAAAGTAGAGGAAGAAGTCTTGACAAGACGGAGAAAGTGTATTCTGCAAGCACCCATGAAATCGAGGTTTTCAAGCACACAAATCGAGTTTATTTATACATGATAGAAATGTCCTTGGGAGAGCCACAAAAATGGTGTACTAAAATAATCCATCAACCAATAACAGTCAAGGATTTTCCGGGTGGGTAATGTAATCTCAAGGTCAACTGATCAGCCCATACTCGAAAGCATAAAATCCAAAATTAGGACCTTTATCAAATGAGTTGTTGGGATCTAACGTCCGCAACAGAGTCATAACTCTCTTAAACGACGACCTTACAACTGTCAGGGTGGTAATATTTACATGGTTTGAATTATTTCTTGTGGTTAGCGTTATTGTAGATGGTTGGTTTTTTTACGAGATGAGGTAGCTAACCGTATGTCGAACCCTACTAATTAATACAAACATGGGACCGGAAGTAGACCCCTAAGACCTCTAGGAGGAGTTTGGTGAGATCAAAGAGTATAACAAGCCCTTATTCGGAATCCTCAAGGCCAAAATAAAAAAGGAATACCAAAGAACAGATTACATCAAGAATCAGAAGCAGACATGAACAAAATGAGCAACAATCGGACAGAAGTGGAAAAGAGGGCTCAGGACAAGTGCGGACTAAAGATTTCTGGTCGTAGGCCTATGCTCGATACGAAGTTATAGGTGTAAGTCAGTGAGTGATCATCGATTGAGGTCTAATAACAAATTAAAATGTAGCCAAGCACGATCGATCAAAAATAATGAACCTCAAAGTAACCTCAATAATCTTTTGTGTCAGGTAGCACAGTTCTATAAATGTTAATTAGACTACTTGACAAATGTCATGAATACGAACGTACAAATCAGAATTAAAAGAGAAGTTTGGCTTTGTGTTAGTTCGTGATGAAAACCTTAATAATTTACAAACAGTAATTTACTATTCATTCTACTATTTACTATTCATACAAGTGTTTATTTACATTTGTCTGTGCAAGACCCTGGATTCTCGTTGGCCAAACAGTGGTAAGTTTAAAAGCAGTAAACTAAGGTCTGAGTTGTACTGATGACTGTAGATGAGTAAGACAACAGCAAGGTATTTCCCTCGGATGACCAACCTTACCTTACCCCACAGATTTCCGTCTCAGGCCTTTTAAGGAGCAGATCCAACACGTTGAAAACTTGCCACAGAAAGGCTGTGAAAGACTGGCCTTAAGCATTTGACTTTTTTACTCTCTGGTCACTCTCCAAGTCACTAAGACTAACTTTAATACAACTTCTTTTTCAGTTTCCCTGAAAAATATCCATTCACGGTGTGAACACCCGAGAACTCATATCTGTAACAGGACAGTCAAAACATTGCTCGTCTATCTTGGAACAATCAAGCAAGCAATACTAGTGTTAGGAAACGGGAACTAGGTAGGGTGGATAGGTCGAATAGTGAGACTTCATCAATCGAGGTGGCTGGGACATGCATTACGAATGCCCAACCAACCACTGCCTCAACGAGCAATGTATTGTCAGTTAGGTATGTGTGGGTGTAGGAAGGATTTGATTTCGACCGATTTGGTCTCACTTGCTGTTACGGGTATGAGGGCGGTTATCGCTTCCCGGCTGCCCACATCGTGGAAGGTTGTTTCTTGAGGAACCTGAAAAGGAAGATAGAATAGTTTTGGTCTTAGAGACCTGGGTGCGTGACCGCAGAGCCCAAGGGACAACTGCTTGAGGCCGGTCACGCACGCCCTTTTGATGAAAGGTTTTTTGAGGATTAGATCCGTTCTTAAAGGCCCTTAGTGGGCACCCTTACCCAAGGAGACGGAAATCCGTGAGGTAGGGTGAGGTGTGACATTTTTAGGGTCGACATTTTCTAACCCTTCCTTCCTTGTGAGAAGGCAGCATCGCTGCAGATGCTGGTTATCCGAGGGAAACACCTTACTACTGTCACACCCCTCCATCACAGTCAGCAGTACGACTTGGCCCTCAGACCTTGGGTAGCTAGCTGCTTTTAGTCTCATCGTTCTCCGATCGACCAGCCTGGTATGGTAGGACCTTCAGGAACATATGTTCCAGCCAATATAGCTCGGTTAGGTCATCACGATAGGGGCAAGCCCGACCACCACGTCAAGGTAGCAGCCACGGTCGGGGCAATGTATTGTAGTGTAGGTAGGAAAAATTACATGGTAGTCAACCAGTAAAATACATTGATATACAAACAAATTAAAACTAACTTGTGGTAAACGCATAATAAATTGATGTGCATTAGCTTTAATAGCAGCTGCTTGAATTTCTTCATCTGTTGCATCAATTTTCCCAAGTCCAATATTTTCCCTTATTGTACCATCAAATAATACCGGTTCTTGTTGTACACAACCAATTTGATTTCTATAATTGTGAATATTTAATTCACGTAAATTAACACCTTGTATTAATATCTACAATAAAAAAGTATCAATCAATAAATACAAAATATACAAAAACAAGGAGGAAATGAATATTGAAACTGTTGTAATTTATTGAGTAATAATATTCACACTATCAGCCTATGCTCCATATGGGGTACCAGGCGTAAGTAAGTAAGTAAGTAAGTAATTCACACTATATTATAATGCAAGTCTAACATTGATTGATTCATGATTTCAGTAAAATAACTCAACAGTATTTACAACCTTGGAATGAGAATTATCATGTGCTCACTAGTGACTAGCTACCTTGTGGAAGTTTCTCAGAGTTCTAGTAAGAACTTGTGACCAGTGGAGATCAACCCTGTTCAGGTGTGAAGTAGTGCTCACTGTAGACAGTGGATTAGAAATTAACACCATTAGATACCGGCTCAGTGGTCCAGAAGTTGGTCGTTTGCGAGCAAGGCCGAAGGTTCTGAATTCGAATCCTGCGAGTAGCAGCAGTCGGGGATAGGCGCTGCTGATGAGTCCCATACCAGGACGAAACGGCCGTCTTTCATTGCTTCTGGGTTTCTAACATTGACCGATTACTGAGTTCAATAAAGTAACTCAACAATATTCACAAACCTGGAGTGAAAGTTATCGTGTGCTCACTAGTGACTAGCTAACTTGTGGAAGTTTCTGACAGTTCTAGTAAGAAGTCGTCCAACGCCGTTCGGGTGTGAAGTAGTGCTCACTGAAGACAGTGAATGAGGTTGGGTAAGAACGCAAATTGATCGAAGTTAGACAGTAGTATTGTTAGATACCGGTTTAGTGGTCCACAGGTTATTCGTTCATGGGCAAGACCGAAGGTCGAGTCCTGCGAGTTAGGGGAATCGACAATCAGCATTGCTGATAAGTCTCATATCGGGACTAAACGGCTGTCCAGTGCTTCCGGGTTTCTGTTGTTGGCCTAACACTGATTGATTCATCATTTCAATAGTTATTTTGGTCATTCGAAAAAAATTCCCTTGTTTAAATGATTGACCATTTATCATGATACTTGAAAATCTTGGATATGTTCATCTATGGTAAGGTTATGCAATCTGTACTGCTTGGAAGTTGAAAACTACGACAAATCTATGGTTCATTACATCTTAGTTTCTTATTGATAACTCGAATTTGTAGTGTGCACCAAAATGTCGACAGTATTATTGATGAGCAAAATGGATCTGATTTAGATATGAAGGCGTGAATTTGCAAAGCGAGGGAAGCATTTCTACAATTGAAGAACATCTGGAACTCCAAACAACTATCAACCAACACCAAAGTCAAAATTTCCATTACAAATGTCAAGACAGTTCTACTGTATGGGGCGGAAACTTGAAGAACTTTGAAAGCCATCATGCAGAAGCTACAAATATTTACCAACAGTTGTCTTCGGATCCGTTGGCTAGACATCATCAGCAACAACTTAATGTGAAACCACGCAAGACCGAAAGTCCTGGGGTTTGTTCCCATGAGCGAGAATCGTGAATGCACACTACTGATGAGTTCTTAGCTACGACGAAGCAGTCGTCCAGTGCTTTCAAGTTGTTGCTAGTGGTCTAAAAATCATCGACTCATCATTTCAATGAAACTAAATGAGTTATCAAATTATGATTTCATTTTTCTCTACATTTATATCATACAACAAATGAATTTTGACTTACTTGCTTCCATTGAAAACATTTGAATATTTGTGTAGTGAGTCATTCAATTGTCTAGCTCACATGACTTGTCCCACTTGTCTTTTTACCTTGTCACCTCATTTGTCGCTTGTTTATTGATGTTTGCGTATGCCTACTGGCTTACATGCTTTATCTCTTGGAGTTGGCTCACTAGCTTTCTGCACATCGCTTCATCCATTCATCCGCCTACTCACTCGTTTGCCTGCTTTCCGGCGGTCGCATGACGATTTTATCTTATACCGCTTGTAGTCTGTCTGCTGTTCTATTTGTGGTGGTATGCCAAAAATAAACTTATTCAACACTTTGTGTTCTTCAGATGCTAGTTAGTAACGATTTTCTGGACGAGCTAATCACGAAAATTAAGAACACATCGAAATTGGCCACCACAAATCTGATGAGCTCGACGTGATATGGGCTACCACAATAGAATAGGTTTTAATAAATGAAATATTTAAAAATAAAATAGTAATACTTACTTCACCTTCTGTAGGATCATAGAAACGTTGAAGCATATGAATAATGGTACTTTTACCAGACCCACTAGCACCAACCAATGCAATTGTTTGACCACTTTTAATAGTAAGACAAAAATTGACAAGAATCTAAATTATAAGAAAAAGTAATAATAGCAGAGTAGCCAAAATAAGAAAAATCAATTGAAAAAAAAAACATAAATTTTGATGAATAGGGGGTTGTATGACTCTTTTGAGAATATCTATCATGATAATTGTTACGCGTGCACGTAAACACGTCAACATGAGATATACTTGAACTGTTACGAGTTTACCTAGTCGGAAAAACGCGAGCGAGGATGGAGGATCCGGCGACACGACATGCTACTCAAATCCGATTATCCCAACACCCATACTTGGTAAAAATAAGAAGTGATATGAAGTAGAATCTGTATTCTACAAGCATCCAGAAAGTATGAGGTCCGAATCCAGAAGAGAATCAGGATCCCGGACCAGGGATCCGGGACCGAGCCCTGGTCCTGGTCATAAAATGTTACAGATAATGCGTATTTATACATTTCGGTCGAATAGGAAACAGCATCGAATTCTGTGACATTGACAGTTACATTTGAAGTGACATTGATAGTCAGGACAACCAATGAGAAAGAATATTTGAAATGACATTGACAGTCCGGCTGACCAACATTGACAACATTGAAGTATTTGACTTTGAAAGTCAAAACGATCATAATTTTGACCAATAGAAATCAACCACTAGGATTTGACCAATAGTTCTCTTAGAATATTGGATGAATATCCTAACAATAATGCATGTAGTTTCTTTAACAAACTATTGTTTCGTAATAAATGCAATAGATATAATTCAGGACAATTGCTTCTTCCTTCTGCACACACTCGTCAACTAGATGTACTTTAACCACAATGGGAATGTTCACATGGATTTCTCAATTAACGACTTCGCCCCCCAGACCTTGAGTTGTTGTTTTTAGTCTCATCGTTCTCCAATCGACCTGCCTGGTATGGTAGAACCTTCAGAGACATATGTTCCAGCCAATATATAGCTCGATTGGGTGATTAAGATAGGCATGCCCGATCACCACGACAAGGTAGCAGCTACGGTCGGGTATCTAAAATATAGTTGGGGTGGTACTGTTAATGCTAGCGTTAAATATTCAGTATGTACGCGTGTATATAATTTCAATGATCAGTTTATTTTTATTTACTTACTGGTATATCTGGACGTGAAGGATAATTGAAATTCACATGACGAAATGTGACACTTCCATCAAAATCTGGAATAATTTTCCCGGTCGATTGTTTTTCTATTTCAGAAACCTATGAGGGAGATAAAAAATAGAGTGAAACTTTTCAAGAGTTTGTAGTGATTGTTAAACTTTTACAGTTTTTTACAGCATGAACTTACTTTACATTGACAATAACTGTTAATTTACGGATCACTGAACAATTTGTTTATTCTTAATTTGGGACGGCTCTTCTGCAGTGCGCAAACACAATTTCACACGATAACATACAGAAGATATGATTGTTTAACTTAGATCAGATCGTGATGTATAAACATTGTGTTAAGTAGAGTTCGACAATGATGTATTCTATTTCATTGAAAGATAGTTTACTAGCACAGAACAACTTCAACTACATAAATATTAAAATTTAAAGTATACTGAAAAATTGTTTCATCCCAGCATAGAAAAGTTTAACAATGTGAGAGAACATAAAACCAAATGAGAGAAATACAATTTAAAAAGTAAGAATAGGGCGTTTGCGGTGGAGTTTCGTTCTCTGAACTGGATGCTTTGGTTGTGGAATATTCATTGTTATTCTACTGAACAACATTATCCGTACAAACTGCACATATGATCTGTAGCTTGTTCTGTTAACACTTTTGTGACTCTTGAGTTACAGATTTTCCGGAACGGTAAATATGAGCTTATAGAAAGCTACAAAACCAATAGAAACTAGACTATTAAAATCATTTTCAAGATATTTTCCCGCCCGTTCATCAAAAACTTACGATTCGAAATGATGATTATTCAGTGGATTACTTACTTAATCTGGTTATCTCTAATAGAACATAGGCCATCGGCTAGCGATCTTCCGAATCTTGCTTCCCTGTTTTATCCGTTGGCTGTTCACTCTTTTGACACCTACATCCAACTGTCAGAGTTGCATTGCGGGGTTGTTGTGAAGATTGTTAAGGTTTGTTTGTAACCATGAATCGATCAATGTTAGACCACCATTAGAAACCTGGAAGCACTGAACGGCCGTTTCGTCCTGGTATGGGACTCATCAGCAGTGCTCATCCACGACCCCTGCAACCCGAAGGATTCGAACCCAGGACCTTCGGTATTGTGCGCTAACGCCCTAACCGTTAGACCACTGAGCCGGTATCTAACGGTGTTAATGTCTAACTTGATCAAATTCACGGAGTTGCGCAACCTCATACAGTGTATACCTCCGAACAGGTTTGAACTTCACTGGTCACGACTTCCCACTAGAACTCGGAGAAGATTCCTCACCAAGCTAGTCACTAGTGAACACATGTAATTGCATTGCGGGGTTGTGTGTCTTCCTCTTTTCCTATAGTGTTGAAGGTCTCAAATTAGGGCTTGTCTTGTGATACAGTCAGGTGCTTTCCTCATTGTATGTCCTATCCACCTCCTGTGCTCCTTTCTAATTTCTTCCCCAAACTGGAATTCGGTCTTCTCTCTCCCCCAATAGATTGTTACTGATAATGCCTGACCAACGAATCTGCAGTATCTGGCATAGACAATGGTTAATAAACGCCTGTACGTTGTGGTATCTAATGAATGTCGATCATAAAAGAGTATGCAGCTATCAACATTGTTTATTCTAATCATTAAGTTAAACGGTAAAATACATTCATGACAAGTGAATAATTTTTTATGATATGATAATATTTAAAAACAGCGCAGCAAACTCACATGATTTATTGCGGCAAATATTTCTTTGGATGCTGTGACAGCGCCTAAAATATATGGGATATTTGGTAATGCATTGCCTAAAAATATACTTCCAAGTAGTATATTGATAAAGACCTAAAAATAAAACACATAATAATAAGTACTATTTAGAAGAGCAAAAACAAAATGATTATGCAAAGTAAAGTGATATGCTCGTCAAATGATATACTTGGAACTATTACGAGTTCACCATAGTCGGTTAAACGACAGCAAAGACAAATGATCCAGTGACAAGATAGGCTACTCTAATCCGATCGTTCCGACGCCCAAGTAAGTAAAAGAAGAAGTCTTGACAAGAAGTAGAAAGTAAATTCCAGAAGAACCCAGAAAATATGAGGTCCAAAAGCACGCAAATCAAGTTTATTTATACATGACGGAAACGTTCTTGAGAGAGCCGGAAAAACATCATACTAAAATATTACATTAATCAATAACGGTCTAGGGGAAATGTAATCTTAAGGTCAACTGATCAGCCCATGCACTAAAACACAAAATCCAAAATTAAGACCTTTATCAAGTGAATTGTTGGGATCTAAAGTCCCCAACATAAAGCAAATCCATTTTAAAGATGAAACATTGACTTGATCAAATGTGAAGTTGCATTTCATGGTAAATAAAAACACAGAACAGTTATATATTCGGAATACAAAGTTGTTTTATTATTCTGGTTAATATTAGTTAACAAGATGTACTTAAGCAGTGATTGATATTTGAGCTTCAGTTTGAAATCTATCAATTCGAATGTTAACCAGTAATGAGTGGTTTAATTATTATTAGCAGAGGTGGAAAGAATTCGATTCTGACCGATTTAGTCTCATGTGCTTTTTTATGAGTATGAAGGCGGATGTTACTTCCCAGCTGCTCACTAGATTCTACTTCTTGAATTATATTGTCGAACCCTAATCTATCCGATTGATGCGAGCTACTCATAAGTAGTATATGACGTGAGTGTCAACGTAATGTCTGGCAGCAGAAGATGGAGGAAGATCAAAAAAGGAAGAGTTAGAACACAATGGAATTTGTATGAAACGCATGAATAGTAGTGACAATGGATTGATGTTTTGCAACAGGAACAGTCCAGTTCGATATGATGAACTGATATTTTGCCAATTAACCGTTTACGGTATGGTTTTCCGATTTTACTGAGTAAATCTGTAATTTTTCGTTGAATACAATTCGGTTGCCCCACCTGTGTTCTCGTTCACTACACTGCTACCTCTACTACTATGGGATTCAAAGTGACAATTATGGTATGGCAACTATGTTCTATGTTGTTGCTGTTGACTAACTGACTGACTAGTAGAAGTGGTTAAGTGACTAGCAGTGGAAAATACAGGACAACGCAGATTTCATCTTGTCACATTTCAAAGTTGATGTATTACTACTATTACTCCGTGATTCAAACTCATTATCTATCGAATTTTCTCATTTCCACTCAAATGACAAAAATTCCAACTACAATGAAACGTGTGTGTCTACTAAATTTTATATTATTTACTAACTAGCTTCGACTTAACCTCATTTAAATAATACTTTGTATTGAAAAAAAGTTCAGAAACAAAACTTTTTTTCAACAGATAGATATCAAAAAAAATATTTGTATATCAGTTCATTTATTTATAATAGAATAAAACCTCCAAAAGAATTTTGATCAATCAGACTTCAAAGTGTACACGTTTCATTTTCTGATTATTTAATTTGTCGCTCACATTGAATTACTTATTGACTATTAAAAACAGAAAATTCACTGTTCAAACGCAAACAAACAAACAAACCAACATTGAACACATTCAATGTTGTTCAATATTGTTTCAACAATAATATTATTCTTCTCATTGAATTCACCCCCACCCCTGATAGAAGATATGTGATTATTTTTAAGTGATCAAAAAATAATAGGAGACTAACATAGTTCATCTCGTAAAAGTAAAATGGAATGTTCCATTAGCTAGACAATGAATGAATGACCTTGTTGTACATAGGTGTTTACACTATAAAAAAAAATTATTGAGTTAAAATTTCAATGTTTAAACAGTAAAAGTCAAAAGCAGTTTTTTTTTTCTTTTTCCTTGTGCGCATTTTTCAATGTATATAAAAGAATGCTCCACATTTAAATACGACGTAATAATGTCAAGACAGTTCTACTGTATGGAGCGGACACATGGAGAACTACCAAAGCCATCATCCAGAAGATACAAGCGTTTATTAACAGTTGTCTATGCAAAATACTTCGGATTCGTTGGCCAGACACTATCAGTAACAACGAACTGTGGGAGAGAAGAAACCAAATTCCAATGGAGGAGGAAATCAGGAAGAAGCGGTGGAAGTGGATAGGACACACATAACGAAAAGCACCGAACTGCGTCACAAGATAAGCCCTGACATGGAACCCTCAAGGCAAAAAGAAAAGAGATCGGCCAAGGAACACATTACTCCGAGAAATAAAGAAACATATGAGAGGAATGAACAAACATTGGATAGAACTGGAGAGGGAAACCCAGGACAGAGTTGGTTGGAGAAAACTGGTGAGCGGCCTATGCTCCGTTGGGGGTAACAGGCGAAAGTAAGTAAGTAAGTAATAAGACGTTAGATTTAAAAGAAAATCATCTTAGGGATAAAAAAATTGAGCCGACTGAAGTTTCAGTTATACCCAGATGAGTTATTGATAAAAGACGGCAAATCAGCATAGATTTGTTCTTGAATAAAAAGCAGATTTTAAAATCCATCAATCTGTCAATTAATCAATAGCAATGTAGAACTTCGTATGTACGTACATATATCAGTTCATGTTGCTATACCATATTAGCACAGAGATGTAATTGTTGATTCAAATCCCATGGTAGTAAAGCTATTAGCAGTAATCGGATAGATTGAGGTTCGATCATATTATTCAAGAAGTAGAATCTAGTGAAATAGACTTAAAAAGATAAAGTGATGAGGAATTCAGAAGGTTAGAATTTAATAGAACACAAAGAGTAAATGTACCTGCGCCATTGCAAACGGTTTTGAGCCATTTCATTTAGGTTCTCTAACCATCGATTACTAACATCTCGCGTACCCTAACCAGGTAGTCGACAACTACCGACATGACGCAGTTCATTTATCAGTGACGTCATGGATTCGCGCCATCTTTTGGTCTGGCCGTCCCTAGCTTTCGTCCAACCTATTCCTACACCGCAAAATATAGCTGGACGAGGTAATCGGTGGTTAGGCATACGTAACACAGGTCCCAACCACCTCAACTGATGAAGTTTCAGCACTTCATCTATTGATCTGCCATTCTTACTTAGCACCCGTTTCCTCACAACAGCATTGCTTACTCGGTTGTCTGAGGATACACGAGCAATGATTTGGAGACACATATGATTGAAAACCAGTAACATACGAATATTTTCTACTCTCACTGGCCATGTTTCACAGCCATAAAGTAAGATGGAGCGAACTACTGCACAGTACACTCCTCCTTTAGTCAGCAAACGGATATCTCGCCTACGCCATAAGTGACGCAGGTTGTCAAAAGCCAATCGAGCCTTGTGTATCCGTGCTGAGATTTCGTCAGTCATTGTGAGAAAATATCAATTTCAGTGAACATCAATTCTGAGACAGAGATGTTATCTAGCTGATGAGTCTCAGATAGGACGAAATGCTCGTCCTGAATTCTACTGCCAGAGTCACAATCAATCTATTTAATAAATCGATTAGGTTATTACAAGGCGTTTTTTAAAATGGTTTTCTTAGGTGATTGGTTAAATAGCAACATCTATTGTTATAATCAGTTGTACCAATCAACATATTATCGAATATTTTTTGATTCGTGCTTTTGTTTTACGCAATGACCTTTGACTTTTTTGTATATATACAGTGAGATTACACTACGATCACGCTGTCTACTACTCTTTCAGGTCGCCATCTTGTTTTGGCTGCTCTGTACCTACACTTATTCTTTGACACGTTTCGGTATTTCTTCGATGCCAGGAAATCGCCTGCAAATACACCAATTTCATCTGTGGTCTGTCTCCGTTTCCTTCTTTCCTGTAAAAGATCTAGGATAACATGCGAGACCCATATTCAATTCGTATATAGACGTGTTCATGGTCACGTAACTCAAACATCTTCATACCAGTGTGTTAGTTCAAGAGAAACACATCTTTTTGTCGGTACTATGAGATAGCATTTCAATTATATTTTTCTAGTTAAATTCCAGATTCAAACTGAGGAATAAATTAGAAAAAAGCGTTAGAGGTGTGGATTGGACACACATTGTGGAAAGAGCCAAACTATGTCACAAGACAAACTCTAACTTTGAATTCTCAAGGCCGAACGAATTGGAAGAAGACATATAAAGAATGAACAGCAGTTGAGTAGAACTGGAAAGTAAGGTCCAGGACAGAGTATGTCGAAGAATGCTGGTCGTTGACTGATGCTCCGTTGGGGCTAACAGATGTAATTAAGTAATCTGAGTGTTTAAGTGTGGACTATGTATTGATTCATGTGTCGAGATAAAACAAGGATGAGACATTTGTTCAGTTCAACCATTATATAGTGAATCGAATTTCCTGTTTTCATACTTTGAATCGTGAGGAAATTCACCAGTTATCATTTTAAAGTGTAAACAGTACAACGGAGGAGTTGTAGTGCTTTTGGTTGGCCAACTATTAGCAGTATAATCGTGGATCTAAGACGTACACTAACGACAGTGACACTGACAGATAAGTATTCTGCTAGTTGGCACTCATCACTACAAGACCTCTAGGGAGTCTTGAGGAAACTGATTGCCTTGTAGGTTTCAAATCAACACTATCCAGCTACATAATCTGAGGTGTTTCTGCTGAGTAATCATGGTAGCAGTTGAGATTAATAATTCAGTCAAATGTTCACACCATTATAAATAAACGTCAGCATATATTAAAATTGAAGTTAACGCTGGACTTTTATTAGTCGTCTAGAAAAAACAGAATTTTAATGTATCATATTTCCTTCAAATCATGAATCGATCAATGTTAGACCACCAGTCAAAATCTAGAGACACTGCAAGACCGTTCCGCCTTAGTATCAGACTCATCGGTAGTGCTCATCCACGACCTCCGCACGCAGGAATCAAATCCAGGACATTCTATCTCGTACGCGAACGCTTAACCTCTAGATTACTGTGCTGTTACCCAAAGATGTTCATGCCTAACTTCAATCAGTTCACGATAATGCATGACCTCACCCATTGTCTTCGACAGGTAACTGCGAACCTCCTGACACGGTTGAACTCCATTAGATAGCAACTTCCAGGTCTAAAGGTTAGGACGAAACTATCGTCCAATGTTGTTCTAGCAATGATCGATTCATGATTTCAATGAAACTTAAAAAATCTTTATAACCCTGTAAAAGATATGTAACATATTTATTTTCATTAAGATTTACTTATATAATTTACTTCTAATGAGCAAACGTGCTGTCTAATGCTGAATATTTATTGTTCAGCCGTCAGGTGCCTAGGTACGGCCGATTATAGGGAGGGTCTTCTCTCCCTCTTCAACTGTTCACATGTGGCCACGAGTGTAGAGCAACTGTTAAGATGAAAAGCCAATGCCCGACGCTTAAAAAGAGTTAGTGTATAAGGGAGCTGGTAAACTCTGATTCCAAACTAGTGGTGTATGAACCTATCGCTGATCACCAACTGTCAACTGGAACCACATATGACAATGCTCCATCACATGGTGGGGTGTGGCAATCTGGTTCAGTTTAGACACCTACCTATGTAGTATCCCGTTCCATTTTTACAAATTCAGTCATTAAAAACATTTAACCTATCAAAATTGTTCACAAATATATATATATATATATATATATATATATATATATATATATATATATATATATATATATATGCACACTTACTGCAATCACAGCACCAGGATCTGTGTTTTCATCTCGAATCAATTGAACACCATACCAAAATACTAAAGCTGCTGATGAAAATATCACCAATCCAATAGATCCTCCAACTATAATATATTCAAATAAATTTAGTGATTAAAAAAACATAAAATCATCATTCACAAAATGATGAATTGGAAATTAGATTTATTCTCTCTATCATCAGTTAATGCAATGCAATGAACAACCAAACATGATCAGTTGAACGAACACAAACTTTCATTTATTTGTTTATTTACCCTGATTTCATAGATGTAGTAGTGATATGTTTGATTGAGGACATTTATCAAATCGACTAGACAGAGACAGATAGACAGACAGACAGATACAACACAGAACTTCGTACAAAAGTAAGTACATCAATCAGTTCAGGTTGCCATGCCACGTCAGCACAAGGACGAAACTGTCAGTTCAAATCCAAGAGTGATAGCGATAGTAGAATTATTAGCAGTAATGGAGAAGATTAGGGAGCGAAGATATGATTCGAGATGTATAATTCAGTGAGATAAATTTTCAAAGAGAAAGATAGAGATTATGAGGAATGCAGAAGGTTAGAATTTCATAGAACACAAAGAGTGGATCCACCTGCGCCATTGCGAACGATTCTGAGCCATGTCGTTCAAGGTCTCTAACCATTGGTGACTTTCATCTCGCAGACCCCAACCAGGTAGCTTACATCTACCAACATCACTCAGTCCACTTGTCAGCGACTTCATGGATTTCTGTCATGTTTTGATCTGGCCGCCTCTAACTTTCTTTCAACCTACTCCTATACCACAAAACATAGCTCGTCGCAGAGGTCGGTGGTTAGGCATACGCAGCACATGTCCCAACCACCTCAACTGATGAAGTTTCACTACTTCATCTATTGACTTGTCATCTTTACCTAGAACTCGTTTTCTAACGATAGCATTGCTTACTCCGTCATCCTAGGATACATGAGCAATGCTTCGGATACACCTACGATCGAAGACTAGTAGCCTAGGAATGTCCTCTACTCTTAACGGCCATGTTTCGCATCCGTATAGTAGGAGAGAGCGAACTGCTGCACAGTACACTCGTCCTTTGGTTAACAAGCGGATATCTCGCCTGCGCCATAAGTGACGCAAGTTGGCGAAAGCCAATCGGGCCTTCTGTACCCGTGCTGAGATTTCGGCAGTCACCAGGCCATCAGCACTGATGAGACTCCTCAAACAAGTGAAGCGATCAACACACTCGACTACTTCACTTCCTATCACTAGTTCAAGTACCGATGCAACCAATCCTGAAGCAACAGTTCGCATTTCCATGGGGAGAACCACATCCCGAACATGCTTGCATCGTTGCTTATGGTAGTCAGAAGACTCTGCATTTATTCAGCGTCTCCACCAAATAGGACAATGTCATCGGCATATTCTAAGTCAGAAAACGTGGCTCCTGGTAGAAAATCTACTCCTGAAAAGTCGGACGGGGATGACGTTGTATATAGCAGCATGTCTATGACAAAATTAAACAAGAATGGAGAAAGTGGACATCCCTGTCGGACACCACTTGAAGTAAAGAATTCCGATGACAGTTCGCTATAAGCTCTCACCCGACCCGTAGTTTTAAGAGTAGAGAAAAAAATCCCCTAGTAGTAATAACAACTATAACTGAAGGTGGTAGACAGTCAGTGGATCTTTCCTGATATCAGATCAACATACTTAGACACTAAATTTGTTATCATGAGATGGTAGAGAAAATTTATAGCTCAAATGGATGATTGTGATGGCGTATCGTTCTCTGAGCTGGATGTTTTGGTTGTGGAGCTTTCATTGTTCTTCTTCTGTACAACAGCATCATCAGCACAAACTTCGGGTAGTAGAAGTGAAGTATTCGAACTTGCCTACATATGATTCATAGTGCCATGACATTTCTTCGTTTATAACAACATTTACGGACAACAATGGACATATATTTGATTGGAAAATGTAAAAATGCTGGATAGAGTGAGAATTTTCAGAATCTTGGCAGTCGAGTCAATCAGCAATCAACACACAAATCGACATTGATCGAATTTATGAAACCAGTCAGAAAGAAATTAAAGCCAAATATAAGATCAAGAAATAGGTCAAAGTAGGGTACAATCAAAATTAAGATGCAAACAACGGCAGGTCTAAGGTTAGTGATAACCAGTCATGATCAAGGTCAACAGGACAAGCTACAAGTCACACGTATAAAAATTCAAACACTCTTTACTCTTAGCTAAAGCTTGTGCTGATGATTTTGATCAGACAAACAATGAAAGCTTCACAACCAAAATATCCAGCTCAGAGAACAAAAGTCTACCATAATTTGTTATTTCATTGCAATTTCTTTGCTTCCCAAAGTCAAATAACCCTGTAGCTTGTTCTGTTGACCTCAATCTCGATTGGTTGCTGTTGACCTTAAACCTGTCGTTGTTTGCACCTTTGTTTTGATTGTATCCCATACCAGGACAAAACCGCCGTCAAGTACTTCCAGGTTTCTAATGTTGGTCTAACAATGGTTGATTAATGATTTCAAAAAATGTCATTTTTATGCAACTCACTGGTGTTATATTATGTTTGTCGAAAATGTTTCCAAGAATTTTTTAATTTTTAAAAATTTGAATTATCGCCAATAATGATTTCACAATCAGTAAACTTTATTTGTCATTTTAGTACCTGTACTGGGCAGGGGAGGGCGCTTTTTCTAAAATTTTTATTTGTCATGAGGTCTAATATGATTAATGAAGAAGGCTGAATTTTTATCCAATTTTCCTTCGTTAATAAAACAAGAACACAATCAACGAAATAAAATAACATGACATCATGTTATTTTTCGCCCTGTTTCTCATCAACTGCACACAAGCGTAACATAGTAGTTAGTATTGATTATCAGAAAAAAAATCAATGTACATAATGTACCATAGCATACTATCATCATCAGTAGAGTTCTCATCAGTGAAGATCGATAGAAAATCAATAAGGGCTATATAAGAGATACTATTTATATCATAAAAAAATATGGATAATTATAGATTGAATATGAACAAACTATTCTCAAATAAATAATTAGGAAATAAGACAGCAATGTGTCATAGTTATGTAATTCTGAGTACAAATCTAATAAGATTTGAGAATAATTATTTGTTCATGTGCTCATCAGTGACTAGCTTGATGAGGAAATCCTCGAAGTTCTTAAGAGAAGCTATTGTGGCGCGAGCTACTTATAAGTAGTATATGACGTGAGTGTCAAAGTAATATCTGGCAGCAGAAGATGGGGGAAGATCAAGAAAGGAAGAGTTGGAAAACACAATGGAATTTGTATGAAACGCATGAATAGTGACAATGGATCGATGTTTGCAACAGGAACAGTCCAGTTCGATATGATGAACTGTTATTTTGCAAATGAACGATTTACGATATGGTTTTTCCTATTTTACTGAGTAATTCTGTAATTTTCTTTAAATACAAATCGGTTGCCCTACCTGTGTTCTCGTTCACTACAGTATGACCAGTGGAGTTCAACCTTGTTGCGTATGAGGCAGGTATTCACCGAATACAGGGGATGGAGTCGTGCAATATCGTAGATTGATAGAATAGACTTTAAAGTGGTTGCATTCCGACTCAATGTCTAGAAATCAGGCGTTTTCACGCGAGACTTAATCTCCTGAGTTCGATCCCTGCAAGCGAGGGTCGTGGATATGCCGTCTACTGCTACCAGGTCTTGGAGGCGTTCTAACATTGACCGACTCACGATTTTAAAGATTAATTATTCTTAATTCTTATTTGATTTGTACTCAGTCAGTTTTGTTCTAACAGTTACATAAATATAACATTAATGTCTTATTCCCAAATAATTCTATTTCATAGTTGTTTATTCCAGAATATTCTTCTTATATTCAATCTGTAAATGTTCAGATTATTTAGCATATAAATGTTATTTCTTATAGTCCTTAGTGATTTTTTTCCATTTATCTTCATTGATGAGAGCTTTTTTTGATATTATGATAAGATAAGAACTATTGCAATGTTTTGATACAACAATAAGTAAGTATGTAGTAAATTGATTTTTCTAATGATAAATACTACTACTATGTTTAGGTTGTACGTCGTAAATGAGAAACTACGATATATAAAGTGAATTCACGATATTCTGTTCTGTTGATTGGAACTCGAAACAACTATCAACCAACACCAAAATCAGAATTTTCAATAAAAACGTTAAGACAGTTCTACTGTATGGAATGAAAGCTTGAAAGAACTAAGAAAGACATCATCCACAAGATACAAGTATGTATTAACAGTTGTCTATGCAAAATAGTGAAGATTCATTTGTCAGATACCATCCATCAGAAACAACCTACTGTGAGATAGAACAAACTAGATAGCAGTTAAGAAAGAAATTAGGAAGAAGCGTTAGAAGTGGATAGGACACATATTGAGGAGAGCAACCAATTGAGTCACAAGACAAGCCCTTACTCGGAATCTTCAAGGTCAAAGGAAAAGAGAAACACGAAAAAACACATTACTTGGGAAATTGGAGAGAGACATTAGGAGAATGAACAACAGTTGGATAGAACTAGAGAGAAAGGTCAAGGACAGAGTAGGTTGGAGAATAATGGTTGGTGGCCTATGCTTCACTAGGGGGCTTAGGTAAGTAAGTTATTAAATATTATCTGACAACTCTACCAAATACTGACAATAATATCTAAAAATTAAATTAGTGACTAGCTTCGTGAGGAAATTCTCGGAGTTCTAGTTGAGAAGACGTGACCAATGGAGTTCAACCCTGTCAGGTGTAGGCAGTAACTACCAAAGACAAATGGATGAGGTCGTGCAAAATCCCTAGATCAATCAGAGTTAGACATTAACACCGTTAGATGCCAGACCCAGTGGTCCAAAGGTTAGGCGTCCGCGCACAATACCGAAGGTCCCGGGTTCGAATCCTGCGAGGTGCAACATGAGTCGTGGATGCGCACTGACACTGATGAGTCCCATACCAGGACGAAACGGCCGTCCTTCAGTGCTTCCAGGTTTCTAATGGTGGTGGTCTAACAATGTATTGATTGATGATTTCAAAGATGTGTAACAACACAAAACCTCCAAAACTCTAACTGAAAATAGTGTAAAATAAATTCAATAACACATACTTACCACCGCCAAATGCTGTAGCTTTTTTAATACCCATCGATTCAGCTGAAGATAATTCTTTTTGATATCTTGTCAACTCATGTTTTTCACCACCGAATGCAATCACTGTCCGTATGGATGATAATACTTCACTTGAAATAGTACTAGCACGTGAATAAGCATGAATTTCTTTAGCATGAAAATATTTAAATGCAATACCGAATAAAGAGAATGCAATCACAACAAATGGCAGTGTAGCACAAGCAACTAAGGCTAATTTCCATTTGACAATAAAACCAATAATGATTCCAGCTAGAAATCCACTTAAATTTTGATAGAATTCACTTAATTTTGTACCGATTCCAATTTCAATAGTATTGATATTTTCTGATAGATTATGTATAATATCACCGGATGAATGTTGATCATACCATAAAATATCTTTGTGTAGAATAGACTGAAATAAATGAATAATAAGATCAGCATTGTGATTGATTGATTGATTGATGGAGAATGAGAATACACATTATAAACTGTACAAATTGCCATACCATATTAGCATACAGAGAGAGACGCGATCGTCAACTCAAATCCCATAACAGTAGAGATAGTAGAAGTATTAGCAGTAATGCGCTTCACTTATCTTGGGAGTCTCATCAGTGCTGATAGCTTGGTGACTGACGAAATCTCAGCTCGGATACAGAAGGATCGATTGACTTTTGCTAACATGCGTCACCTATGGCGCAGGCGTGATATCCGTTTGCTAACCAAAGGACGAGTGTACCGTGCAGTAGTACGCTGCATCCCACTATACGGATACGAAACATGGCCGTTAAAAGTAGAGGATTTTCGTAGGTTACTTGTCTTCGAAGCATTGCTCGTAAATCCTGGGACAACCGTATAAGCAATGTTGTCGTTAGGAAATGAGTTCTAGGTAGGGATGGCAAATCAATAGATGAAGTATTGAAACATCATCAGTTGAGATGCTTAGGACATGAATTAAGTATGCCTAACCACTGACTGCCTCGACGAGCTATGTTTTGCAGCGTAGGAGTAGATTGGAAGAAAGATAGGGGCGGCCAAACCAAAACATGGCAGAAATCCATGAAGCCACTGACAAGTGGACTGAGTCATGTTGGTAGATGTAGGCTACCTGGTCGGGGTCAGTGAGACGAAAGTCACCAATGGTTAGAGACATTGAATGACATGGCTCAGAATCGTTTGCAATGGCGCAGGTGTATCCACTCTTTGTGTTCTCTCTAATTCTTATCTTCTGAATTCCTCATAATCTCTATCTTTCTCTTTACAAATTTATCTCATTGAATTATACTTTTCGAATCATATCTTCGCTCTCTAATCTTCATTACTGCTAATACTTCTGTTATTGCTATCACTGTTGGATTTGAACTGACAGTTACATCTCTATGCTGACATGGTATGGCAACTTGAACTGATGTACTTACGTACGAAGTTCTGCGTTGTATTTGTCTGTCTATTAGCGGTAATGGAGAAGATTAGGGTTCGAAGATATTATTCACAAGAAGTATAACTCAGTGAAATAAACTTACAAAGAGAAAGATAGAGATGATGGGGAATTAAGAAGTTTAGAATTTGAGAGAACAGAAAGAATGGATGCACCTGAGCCATGTTATCGAAGGTCGCTAACCATCGGTTACGATTGTCTCGCCGACCTAAACCAGATAGTCTACACCTACCAATATGGCTCAGTTCAGATGTCAGTGACTTCATGAATTTGTGTCATGTTTCGGTCTGATGCCTGTAGCTTTCTTTCAGCCTACTCTTACATCACAAGACATTGCTTGTCGAGGCAGTCGGTGGTTGGGCATACGTTACGCATGTCCTAACCACCTCAATAACCCAGGAGTGGAATACAGCACGTATATTTCGTAGTTTTTGAGACTTGCAAGAGAGACTGATCTGTGTTGTAAGTTACTCATTATTAGATTATATTAATTCTTGTGATCCGATACAGTTAATATTCATGTTGCCTAACTCGTGATCAACTTAGTTAGACCGATGGAAAAGGCAAGACTGTTATAAGGTGCGTACTCAAATTATTATACAATTTTCTACAAGGGGGCTTTGTAGTATTTGTACTTTTATGTCGAGCTCATAGGACTTGTCCCAAGACTTCAGACAATTTAACTACTACTCCATCTGACCTGAGTTATTATTCACACGTCTTCCAAACTTTACCAATAAAATAAATCTTCCCTTCGATTTTTGTATATCGTACTTAGGCGAAACCCGCTTGTGCGCGGCGGTAATGACAAGTGGAGTGAAGTGAAGTGGAGATGGCGGACGAGCTAACTGCATGTAACGACGCAAGACTAAGCATATCTATAGTCAGGCACAATAAGCTAGACATGCGATAAGCGAAGTAAGCCTGCATACACACACACACAGTCAAATAAAAACAACCAAGACATTTGGCAAGGTCGGACGGAAGACGTGTAAATAATAACTAAGATTGGATGGATTAGTTAAATTATCTGAATGTTATGGGACAAGCCCACTTGGATTCGACATACAAATACACACAGTACAAAGCCATCTTGTAAAAAATTCTACATTAATTTGAATACACATACTGAATCAATATATCTTGTACATTTTATGCGTAGAATCAACCAACCTAGACGTAAACTCTTGATTGGTGAATCCATCTGTTCGTTAAAGATTTTTCAAACTTATTTTTGAGTTGGAATGATAACGATCTCAAAAAAAATCCCATGACTTATTTGGCTTTTGTCCGGTAAATTAAATGATCGATCATTAGAATTTCAAATGTCAGTTAACAGTAACAATATTCCAGTAAATTGATCATTCAACATCTGTGGCGTATAATTTAAATTTGAAAAATGAGCAACAGTTCACCTCAGATTATTCGATTACTGTAATGTTGAGTTATTTTATTTCAAAATTAAGTGAATTTTTATTATTTTGGGATAGGAGATATCAAGTAGTGAATCTTTAACTCTTACTTAATCATATAAAATAATATTTTAAGGTTAAAAATGACATCATTTTATTGTTGAGAAAATAAATAAATTTAGTGGACTTATTTAAACAAGGTGAGTTTAGAATTTATTCACCATTGAACAGTGATTTGACAAGACTTATTCATTTACTCTATTTTCAATTAGAGTTATGGAGATTAGTGTTTTTACACATTTGAAATCATCAATCAATCATTGTTAGACCAACATTAGAAACCTGGAAGCACTGAAAGACAGCCGTTTCGTCCTGGTATGGGACTCATCAGTGGCAGTGCGCATCCACGACTTTATTATCAAATATTTAACTTATACCTGATATTAACACAAAATAGTGTGTAGTAATCTCTTCGGGAGTTACTGTGAATAGATTGACAATCACTGATTTGTTGTCAAATGAAACAACATTATGGTAGGTGACTCTATTCAAAAACCAAAAGAATTTGATTTCACAAACTTAAGTCCAAATGAATTGCATTCATTTATATCGATTGCTTTATCTTATTGCTGTCTTAACTATTTGAAATCATGAACCGATCACTGTTAGGTCATCACTAGAAACTTGGAAGTTCTGAAACACAGCCGTTTCGTCTTGGTATTAGGAATTATCAGCTGTGCGCATCTACGACTCTCGCTACTCACAGGAATCGAACCTAGGACCTTTGATCTTACTAGCAAACACTTGATCTCTGGACCACTGAGCCGGTATCTAACGGTGTTAATGTCTAACTTCAATCAACCCACGGTCTTGCGTGAACGTATCCTCTGTCTTTGATGAGCACTGTTTCACATTCGAACAGCATTGAACTCCATCGGCCAAGACTTCTCACTAGAACTCAGAAAAACTTCTTCACGGAACTAATCACTAGTGAGCACATGATAATTTGTATTATAGGGTTGTGAATATTGTTGAGTTACTTTTCGAAATCATGAATCGACCGATGCCATCCAGTGCTTCCAGGTTTCTAATGTTGGTGATCTAACATTGATCAATTCATCATTTCGAAACGTAACTCAACAACTTCCACAACCCTATAACTCAAATGAATAATAATTTAAAAAAATGCCCATAATCCTTCAGGAGTCAACCATTTTCACTGTTTTATTTATTATTTCTCACACATGAATTAATTTCATATGTGTTTTATCTAACAACATATTAATCACAGATAATTTTCTTCAATCAAAATTATCAATAATCAGGGCAAACGATGAATTAATTAACAGTCGCCATTATATTGTGTTTTTTTACCAATGTTCAAGTTAAACAAACTGAATTCTCAAGTATTTGCTTTTTTTTTAACAAAAGAAAACTGAATCTAAATCTATTCGAAATAACTGAAAATTACAAACTGACTCATTAAATCAAGTACTATATATATCCTTACATATGATTTTGAATGTGTATTGATAAAAGTTAATTAACTTTATATACTAATTATCATTATTATTATTTTATTGAGAAATACATTTTAGTCACGAGTAAAATAAAATTTTGGCAATAACATTTTCCAGTGGTTGTTTTTGAACATTTGTAAATTCTATTCGATCACTTCTTTTTTTTTTGTTTCATTCTCGTAATTATTTCATTGTACACATTTTTGAAACCATGAATCGATCAATATTAGACAGTACCATTAGAAGTCTGGAAGTAATGGATGGCTGTTTCGTCCTGGTATGGGATTCATCAGCAGTGCGCATCCACGACTCATGCACCGCGCGGAATTCGAAACCGGGACCTTCGGTATGGTGCGCGAACGTCTAACCTCTGGACCACTGAGCCATAATCTAACGGTGTTAATGTCTAAGTTGATCAAATTCACGGAGTTGCGCAACCTCATACACAGTCAAGACCTGAACAGACTGAACTTCACTGGTCACAACTTCCAGGTTTCTAATGGTGGTCTAACAATGACTGATTCATAGTTTCAAATGTGTAACATAACAAACTTGATAACCCCGTAATGCAAATACATCTCATTTTAGTCACGAGTAAAATAAAGTTTGGCAATAACTTATTCCAGTGGTATTTTAAAACATTTTTATATTCTATTCGATTCTTTTTTTATTCTCGTAATTATTCCATTCTAGTTGTTAACAATTTATAAAATAAATTTGAATTCTACTTAGATTATTATTTTTATTAATGTGTAAACTTGTTAAATGGTTCAATGAAATTATCTATAAAACAGTATGTAAAATTGAAAAAATTGCATAAGATATTGATGTAAAATAAAAATTCTGAGTGAAGTCATGAATCGATTAATGTTAGACTACCATCCGAACGGATGTTTCGTCCTAGTATCGGACTCATCGGCAGTACACCCATAGGAATCTAACCCACTTGCGATGGTTTAACCTCTAGACCATTGAGTCGGTGTCCAACGGGGTTAGCTTTGAGCTTCAATCAATGCATGACATTGCTCAATCTCATCCATTGTCTTCGGCAGGTAACTAACTACCTCAAACGCGAAAAGGATCACGACTTTTAATAGAGAGCTGTCAGAATCTTCTTACGAAGCTAGTCATTAGTGAACACATGATACTTTTTTAACTCCGCCAGTAGAACCTTCGGGGCTACTGCCGGTCCCAAGCCCGGGTAAAGGAGGAGGGTTGGACATGGGGTTGGCGACCCCATTCCGTCAAAAACTAACTTGCCAAAAAAACGCTAACCAGAAAAAATAATTCAAACCATTTTAACTCTGCCCTGGGAGTTGGAGGAAGAATTATGACGTCGCGTGATGAAAGCCGAGTTCCCTCGGAAGTCACGGGGCTGATGCCTCTTCTGACAACCAGAGCAACCATTTTTTTAGGTACATGGAACGTTCGTACATTGTGGGAGACTGGAAGACTATTTCAAGTTGCGGCAGAAATGAGAAGATACAACCTCGAGGTGCTTGGAATCAGTGAAACACATTGGACACAAGTAGGACAACTGAGACTAGCTTCAGGGGAACTGCTGTTATACTCTGGTCATGAAGAGGAAAATGCTTCACATACACAAGGAGTTGCATTGATGCTGTCCAAACATGCACAAAAGGCACTAATAGGATGGGAATCTCATGGACCCAGGATCATTAAAGCATCTTTCAAAACAAAGAAAAAACGACTTTCAAACAAAACCAAAATCAGGATTTTCACTACAAATGTGAAGACAGTTCTACTTTATGGAGCGGAAACTTGGAGAACTACCAAAGCCATCATTCAGAGATACAAGTGTTTATGAACAGTTCTCTACGCAAAATACTGCGGATTCGTTGGCCAGACACCATCAGTAACAACGTACTGTGGGAGAAAACAAACCAGATTCCAGTGGAGGAGGAAATCAGGAAGAAGCGGCGGTAGTGGATAGAACGCACACTACGAAAAGCACCTAACTGCGTCACAAGACAAGCCATCCCATGGAACCCTCAAGGCAGAAGGAAAAGAAGAAGGCCAAGGAACACATTATGCCGAGAAATAGAGAAAGATATGAGAGTAATGAACAAACATTGGACAGAACTTGAAAGGGAAGCCCAGGACAGAGTTGGTTGGAGAAAACTGGTGGGCGGCCTATGCTCCATTGGGGGTAACAGGCGTAAGTAAGTAAGTAAGTAATTTGATGAAGAAAGTTTAGTATGCGCTCATTATGTTGAGCCCATTGTGCTTGTCTCCTCAACCTATGAACAAATTCATCACTCCATTGTACCCGAGTTATTGTTCACTTACCTTTTGACCTTGTCAATTATTCGCTGATATCTTAGTTTTCGGTTGAATGTGTGTGTATTTGTGTGTGTGTGCATCGCTTACTTCGCTTATTACATGTCTAGTTTATTTTTGTCTGACTATAAATAATCAGTCATGCTTCATCGTGCTGAGTTGGCATTCACCTCTTCACTTTGCTTTTACGATACGTTTTCTCATGTCCATCCTAAATGAATGATTGCCTGAAATAAACTGAATCAGAGTTAAGTTTCTTATTATTGCCTTTAGCCGTCGAAAATTGAAAGTAAGATTTATTTCCCAGTTTATTTAATTGTACGTAAATATTGGAGTCAGATTTCCGGCCACGAAAGTGATCAGCCCAATTTCAAATTCGACGCAACCATTTAAAAACTTAATTGTAAAGGTGATGGAACAATTTTGAATAAATAGATTTCAAACAGTGTGTAATTGTAATGTATAGCGTTTTAAAATATATATTCCGTATGCGAAGCACTTCGTCTACAAATTTTTTTCAAATTGTTTAATAATCTTTGTGACTTAATCACTTTTACTTTACTTACTTTCACCTGTTACTCTCAATGGAGCATATATAGGCCGTCGACCAGTTTTCTCCAACCAACTCTGTCCTGGGCTTCCTTTTCTAGTTCTTTCCAGTTTTTGTTTATTCTTCTCATGTCTTTCTCTATTTCTCGGTTTAATGTGCTCTTCGATCTCCCTCTTTTCCTTTTACCGTGAGGGTCCTAAGGCAGGGCTTGTCTTGTGACGTAGTTGGTTGGTTTACGTAGTGTCTGTTCCATCCACTTTGACCGCTTCTTCCTTATTTCCTCATCCACTGGAATCTGGTTTCTTTCCCACAGTAGGTTTTCTGTGATAGTGTCTGGCCAACGAATCCGAAGTATTTTGCGTAGACAACTGTTCATAAATACTTGTATCTTGTGGATGATGGCTTTCGTACTTCTCCATGT